AAGGGAAATAATGCTCAGACATATACTTTAGAAATATCAATTCAGCAGTTGGGTGGAGAATGGGTTGGACAGGGAAGAAAATGGATCCAGGGAGATCTATTAGGAGACTATTGTGATTGTCCAGGCTAGAGCTGAAGAGGGCCAGAACTGAGGTGGTTGTGAATGGGAGAAGACAGAAAGGGACCAATGCTAGAGATGCTAAGGAGGTCAAATGTTAGCGACTGAATAGACAGAGGGAGTGAGAGAGATTTAGGAGTCAAGGGTGGCTCCTGGGTTTTTTACTGGGATGACTGAAGATGGTGGTATCCTCAAGAGAAATAGGGAAGTCATGAGGAGGGATGGATTTAGGGGGAGAGATATTAGGCGCTGTTCGGACACTTAATTTGAGATGCCAATAGAACCCTAATGTACTAACATAAGAACATATGAATGACTAGGTCAGATCCATACTCTAGCCAGTGCAGACCGGAAGGACATGTTTGACTTCCATTTCAAAGATTTTCATCATCCTCATCCTCATCCTCATCGCTGTTGTTGTTGTTATGACCAGATCCTAGGATTCCATTGGCTTATTGAAATGCTAGTAAAACCCAGCAAAAATGAACATTATCTTTCAGGGGAGGAGATGTATATTCGATGAAATAGGGGACTTTCAAACCTTCCTGATAAAAAGACCAGAGCTCAACAGAAAATTTGATCTTCAAATACAAGACTCAAGAGACACATAAAAAGGTAAACAGGACAGAATGAAACAACATGTTTTTAATAAAGGCAAACTATTTACATCCCTACAAGGGAAGATGACACTTGTAACCCTTGAGAACCATATTGTCATTACACCCTGTTAATGGAGTATGCATAAAGGCAGTGGGTATAAGTTGACTTTGATGTAATGATAAAAAAAAAATCTAATCAAGTGGATTAAATGGATCCAAGTGGATTAATCTGATCTAAGAAAATGTACTGAGAGAAAAGGAAAGGAGGAGGCAGACAAGGGTAAATTATATTACAGGAAAAGGCACAAAAACCTATTACAGCTGAGGGAAAGAAGGCAGGGAGATGAGCATTGTTTGAACCTTAATCTCATCAGATTTGACTCAAGAAGGGAGTAACATAATCAGTTAGGTACTAATATGGATACTAACCCTCCTCAGCAATACAAGGATCTGAGACATCTCCAAAGGCCTCGTGATGGAAAATGCTATCCACATCCAAAGAAAGAATTATGGAGTCTGAATGCAGATCAAAGCATACTATTTGCTATTTTTTTTTCTTCTGTTGTGTTTTGTTTCCTCTTTCTGGTGGTTCCTCCTATTGGTTCTAATTCTTCCGTACAATATCACTAATGTGAAAATGTTTAATAGGAATGTATGTGTATAGCCTATATCAGATTGTTTGACGTATTGGGGAGGAAGGTGGGGAGGGAGGGGAAGAAAAATTAAAAACTCAAAAGCTTATGGAAGTGATTGTTGATAAATCAAGATAAAAAAAAGAAATGCCAGTAAAGAAATTTCTTCTACAGATGCTGATCAGGAATTCATCTCTAACTTAGTCTTAGAGAGTTAATCTGGAGACAGATAGATTAAGTGACATATACAGTCATTTTCAGTCATGTCCGACTTTTTGTGACCCCATTTGGAGTTTTCTTGGCAAAGTTACTGAGTGGTTTGCTATTTCCTTTTCCAGCTCATTTTATAGATAAGGAACTGAGGCCAAAAGGGTTAAGTAACTAGCCCAGGGTCGCACAGCTAGTAAATGTCTGAGGCCAGACTTGAACCCTTCCGGACTCTAGGCCAGGTGACCTATCCATACCATCACCTAGCTGCCCAGTCATATACTAGTTAATGTATCAAATCCAGGTCTAACTCTATTTACTACTATCCCAAGCTGCCTGTCTCATCATGAATAAACCAGAACCTTCATTGCACTATTTATACGTTTAGCTCTATATCACTTTTTTGGGGGAGTATAAGTATATAAGTATATCCACTGTTCAGTTAAAACAAATACTGCTTAAATTCAACGTTTTCAAAGTTTAAGGATTAAGGGATGGGGTTAACATTCTAGGATGTGGTTAACAGGTCTATGTTGATCATACCCGAACAGTCAGTTATTTTACAGACTTTATAAAGTTAAACTATCACATTTCTTAAATCAGCTTTTGCCTTTATAGAATGAAATCTTATAGTTTTAATCTCCATTCATAGCCTTTAATCCCCTTGATAATTTCAGCTGTCCTCTGATGATAATCCAAAAGTGTGGTGACCATAACCGTTCATGAGATTCCTAGTGGGAATATGAACAGGTTTGAAAAAAAGTAGACAACAATGTCTGTTTTGTTTTAATAACACATGCTCCTCAAAAGGCACTTGTTCAAGTTAAAAAAAAAAAAAAATCACTGCCTTTGGAGTCTGAGGACTCCAGCTGGGTTCCAGTCCCAGCTCTGGCACTTACTGGCATCATCTTATGTATGATGTCAGGCATCTCTGTAAGTAACTTAATTTCCCTCAGCCTCAGTTTCCTCATCTGCAGACAAAGGGGCTTGTATCAGATGACTTCTAAGGTCCCTTCCAACTCTAAATTGATGAGTATCATACAAGTTCTTGAAACCCATCCCCAAAATCCTCCTTTAGAGGTAGCTAGGTGGTGTAGTGGGTAGAGCACTGAACCTAAAGTAAGGAAGATCTGAGTTCAAGTCCAGCCTCAAACACTTACTAGCTGTGTGACCTTAGACAAGTCACTTCACCTCTGTCTGCTTTAGTTTCCTCAACTGTAAAATGGGAATAATAGCACCTACTTCCCAAGATTGCTGTGAAGATCAAATTAAATAATATTTGTAAAGTGCTTAGCACAGTGCCTGGCACAGAAAGTGCCTGTTCCCTTCCTTCCTGTATACAGTTTTAAAATATTCCAGCGCTCAGCACTGTAACAGACACACAGTAGGCACTGTGGACTTGATATAACATGCTGCAATTTCTCTCTGTCCTACCCCTCAGCTCTCAGCTTCAGGGTTTTCTCCATGGAGGGCTAGAATTCAAACTAATAAAAACAAAAATGATACTGAAAATTCTTCTCAAGTCTTCACATCCAACTAGTTTACTCTCTCACTTGACATCCTACCCTAAACCCCAGGTAACTAACTACCTGGTGGTATTTGCTGTAGCATCTTAGGGCCTTGTTTATACCCATAAAATACTTGCTAACAATCATCACTAAACATTTTATGAAATTACTATTCCAGCTGAAGCTATTCATTCATTCATTCAATACACATTAAGTGCCTACTATGTCCCAGGCACTGTGCTAAATGCTGGTGAAACAAAAAGAGGCAAAAAAAAGTCCCTGCCCCCAAGGAGCTTACAATCTAAAGGAGGAAGATAACATGCAAACAATAGGCAGGCATAATAGGAACTTAATGTTTATTAAATGAATGATTAACTTCATAAAATGTTTAGTGATGATTGTTAGCAAATATTTTGTGGGTGTAAACAAGGCCCTAAGATACTGCAGCAAAAACCACCAAATAGTTACCTGGGGTTTAGGGTAGGATGTCAAGTTAGAGGATAAAGTAGTTGAATGAGAAGACTTGAGATCAATTTCAAATATCATTTTTGGTTTTCTTAGTTTGAATTCTGTCAGCTGAAAACTCCCCATATAAGGATAAATAGGAAATAATTAAAAGAGAGAAAGCACTGGAATTAAGAGGGGTTACCCAGCCCCCTTCTGATAAAGCTATGATTGTATATGCAGGATCCACAATGAACTTCAGTTTACTCTAGAATTCCAAACTATGACCAAATAGCTTTTTCCAGAATTGAAAGGATAGGGAGAGGTTCAAATGACATTGGATGACACTGAGAGAAAATGAAATGGGTGGTTTTCATCACAAGCCTCTAGTCATACATTCTGATGAGGATCACATATGGGGATTGAATTTATTACAAATTTAAGCTATCTAATCACTTACAAAACAAAACGTGTGGGCAGGTAAACGAATAGTTAATTCTAGAGGTCACTTGTCCATTACACCTCTCCAAAAGATGTCACTAACGTAATTATCATGCATCTTGTACAGGCAGGAATACTGTGACAAGGAAAGGTCAAGTGGCTTGGCCAAGGTCAGTCACCGCAAGATTTGTGATTAATACTCCGCCCCCTCCACGCTTTACCTAGAGGCGGGAACTCCAGGTTTAAACGAAAAAATCAAAGAGGTGAAAAAGGGGCTGTCCAAAGCAATCCAGGTAAACGGCTACCTAGGCAGGGGACCAGGACTATTATCCACGCCAAGCTGACACTGGTGTTTTAATGTAAGAATCTCCGGAGAAACACATTAAACACTAAAGCAGTTCAGACGCAGCTCCCAGGGCGGCTGAAACCTCTGACAGAGGATTCCTCCCGCAGCGCCGAACCCTGTTAATTTCACTGTGTGCCTGGGGGGAGGGGTGGAGAGGAGGGGGCTCAGAGACATTCCTCCCAGGACACACACACGCTTTCCAAACACCTCTTCTGGCCCCCAAACCCCGCTTCCTCCTGCTCTCCTGGGCCAACCTCTACTTATGCCAACTCCACAGTTGGCCGTCGGGGAGGCCTAAAGGCAGCAGCCCCCCCCCGCCGCGGAAATAGCCACCACCAACCTGCCAGGGAGAACCGAGACAGGGCCACATTCCGGGCCAGGAGCAACCCGTGCCGCACTGTGGGCGCCGCCATCATGGAATGTACCAAATGTAACGCCGGCGCAGGAGGGGGCCGTGGAGAAAAGGAAGGGGCGGGGTAGCCGAGAGAAGGAGACCTATCACAGGGTTTTCTTTCTCTTTCTCTACATTCTCTGGCCCTCTAGAGATAGAGGGGGATGAGTGTGGCTCAGGGGCAGGTACTTTTTAAGGTAGAGATTGTGCGGCATCCCCTCCTCAGCTCCTGCAGTTGGTACGGTCGGAGGGGGGCGCAGAATGGCGGCTGTGTCTCGACTTTCGAATAAAATCCTGCTGGAAACAATACAAGGTTCTGCGACCCGCGGCGTGCTGCTCGGGTTCGCTCCCGGCTGCTGCCGCTGGGCCCTCGGAGGTACCTGCGGGCCCGGCCCCGGCTCCTGTCCACGGGGATGCGGGAGGGTTGGGACTGGGGTTGGAGGGGAGCTCGGGCCGTCATTGCTTATAAAGTAGCCACCTCCCCCCCACCCCCCTCTGCGAGGTGTGGACGCCAATCAATCCCTCCGCGAACAAGCCGAGGCCTTGCTGGAAGGCCCGCACAGCTTGCCAGGTGTTTGCTCGGCTTGGTTCTAGGCTATAGGCAGAATCGTAGGCCCTGGAGGCAATGCTTAGAACACTGCTAATTAGATCAGTGGCCCTCTTTTTCAGTAAAGTGAAGTCTATGGTCCCAATCACGAATGAATTTTTAAGAAATTAGAGGCACGAAAATAAAGATAGTTTGCTTTATATATATTACTTTGCGTGTCGTCTCCCCCATGAAGTTGTAAGCTCCTTGAGGGCGGCGAATGGCTTTTTAGCGCAGTGCCTTGCACTTAGTAGGTGCTTAATAAATGTTATTTGATTGATAAAGATGTAAATCCTTGAGTTAGATAAACAACCTCAAGTGACCCTATGGACCTTTTCTAGGGGAACTTTTTGCAGTATACATACATACTCCCTCGGCTATGGGAAATTTTTTTTCCAGGTGGAGGGAAAGGAGGATATAGACAGACAGATAGATGTATACATAATATATATACATATGTGTATATGTAGATATACACACATGTACATACTCACGCTTAGCACTTGACAAGTATTTCATTTGATCCTCACAACAACTCAGAGTGCTGTTTATTATCCCCATTTTATAGTTGAGGAAACTGAGGTTGTGACTTGTCCAGGGTCACAAAACTTGGATAAATTCACTAGCTGCCTCCAGAGGATTTGGGGGGGTGATTTTCAAGAGCTTGTGTGATGCTTATGGATTTAGAGCTGGAAGGGACCTTGAAGGTCATCTAGTCCAAACCCCCTTATCTGCAAATGAGAAACTCAGGCTGAGGGAGACTAAATGACTTACAGAGATGCCCAGCATCTTACACGGGATGATGGCAGTAAGTGTCAGAGCTGGGACTTGTACATCTAAAGTGCCACCAGCGAAGCATTAGGTGGCCATCTAAGGATTTATAGCTGGAAAGGACCTGAGAGAACATGTGGGTCTTATCTGCTCATCATTTTTCAGCTGAGAAATGGAGGCCTAGAGAGACAGTGACTTCCCAAGGTCACACATGTGATAAGTAGCTAACCTGGATTTTGAAGTGATCTGTTCTGACTTCAGATCCATTGCTCTTTCTGGTACACCTGGCTTCCTAACTGCTGATGTTTGTATATGGAATTCCAGAGATAGACAGCATAAGTATTTTTCCCATTTTACCAGTGAGAAAACTGTGGCTCAAGGGTTTAGGCAATCTGCCATGGTAATATCTAAAAAATGACATTGTTTAGGCTTGTCCCCCTCTTTATGACTCTGTTTGGGGTTTTCTTGGCTAAGATACTGAAGTGGTTTGCCATTTCTTTCTCCAGCTCATTTTACAGATGAGGAAACTGAGGCAGACCGGGTTACGTGACTTGCCCAGGGTAACCCAGCTAGTAAGTGTGTGAGGCAGCATTTGAGCTTGGGTCCTCCTGACTGACTCTCAATCCACTGCACCAATAATTGACTGGAGGGGAACTCAAATCCAGATCTTCTAACTCCAGGTCTAGGGTTTGTTTGCACTATTCTCTTCTCCCTTTACTAAGATTCTTCTAGTCCTTCCTTCTTACATACTTTTGACAAATCTAAGAGTTCAGTAGAAAAGATCTAATCACTTCTCTGTTTTGCAGCTTCATTACCCTTCCATCCCAGGAACCCCCACTGTAGAACTGATAAATATCATCAAAGTTTGCTGGCCTGCCTTTGCAGGTCCCCATTTCTTCTGCCTCATTACACTGTAGAATGAACCTGGACTCCCAAAGGCTCTGCCATTGTAGCTTATGCTCCAGCACATCCACCCTGGAAGGCTTGGAGCATAGGCCTGGTTCCCGACTTGTCTGAGGACCAGCCTAGCTGGGTTTGGAAAGGCTGATCAGGTATATACAAAATGAAAGCACAGTAATTTGGGGGGAATGTATTGTAGCGGTGGGGGTGATCAAGAAAATCCTCCTGTAGAAGGTGATATGAGCTGCATTTTGAAGGTATCTAGAAGGTGGGGGTAAGGAGGAAATACATTAGAGCATGGGGTAGCCTGTGCTGTGCCAAGATATTGTGTATGAGGGACAGCAAAGAGGACCAGTTTATCTGTGCCACTGGGCATGGGAAGGTAAGTTGGAGACAAGTTGGTTTGTTTACAGGTTTACTGCCAAAATGAGGTCATGGGTAACTAATGGAGTTTATTGAGTTGGGGAGGGGGATGGGGTGGGGGGAAGTGGAGAAATGCTTGAAACTGTGGTTTAGGAAAATTATTTTGGCTCTTTTGTAGAGGATGAGGCCTTGAGCCCTTGGAGGTACCCTCAGTCCTGGGTTTCAGCCTCAGTTTCCTCATCTATGGATAATTGGGTTGGACTAGATGACGTCTGTGGTCTCAACTCCAAATCCATGACTATTACCTGGGCTCTTAAAATTGACCCCCCAAATCTCCTTTTAAGGCAGCTAGGTGGTTACCTAGGAGCAGGAGAGGGAAGAGCCTGGAACTGGAGAGACCAATTAGAAGGCACTTGGAATTGGCAGGGGCAAGAGGTGATGAGAGCCCATAGTGCACAGAAATAAGGTAAATAAAGTCAGTTTGCTTTTCTGCCTTCCCCTCTTTAATTTAAGTCTTTGGGTAAGATGATTGAATACACAAAGCTGAATGTTGTATGGTGCATTTTTTCACAATCTCTTTGTGAGAGTAAGACAGCATTGATTCACTCCTATCTAAGTCATATGTGATCCTACCTCAGGGCTTAGAGTTAGCTTGTCTGATTCTCATAATATCATGGACTTATTCTTTTTTTTTTTTTTTTTTAAGGCAGTTGGGGTTAAGTGACTTGCCCAGGGTCACACAGCTAGTGTCAAGCGTTTGGTCCGAGGCCGAATTTGAACTCAGGTCCTCCTGACTTCAGGTCCAGTGCTCTTTCCACTATGCCACCTAGCTGCCGCTTCATGGACTTATTCTTACATATTGTCCCTAAAATTTTAAAATTCCCTAACCAGAGGTAGCAAAATATCAAATTACTCTAAAATGGTAATCATTTTAACAGAGGTAAGGTGTTGAAACTTGATGTGCTTTCTCAGTGATTGTGTGTTGGTTTTACACATACAGTGTATTATTGGGCAGTACAGTTTACAAGTGGCCAAATTTTGAGGATTATATGGCCATCTGGTATTCTGGTGAGTAGCCCACCAAAGCATAACACAAAATCATCATCTCTGGTGTTCTCAAGAGCTGAAAGGGACCCCAGAGGCCATCTAATTCAATCCCTTCCATTTATTTTTTTGAGAAAATAATACTTGAAAAGTCAGGTCACTTGTCAAATGTCATATGTTTGATAAGTGGCGCAACCAAATTTGAACTCTAGTCCTGTGACAACCAGTTAATTCTTTCTGCTGCACCAAAAGGAGGAAAACAAGAAGAGGAAGGGCGAACAGGAAGAGAAAGGGAAAGAGAAGTGGAAAGGAAGAAGGGGAAGAGGTCTAGAAGCATTTATTAAGCACCTACTATGTGTCAAGCACTGTACTACTTATTCAAGGATACAGAGAAAGGCAAAAGCAAGTCCTGTACTCAAGCTCACAACCTAAAAGGGGAGACAACATGAAAACAACTATATATGAACAAGATATATACAGGATAGGGCCGCTAGGTGGCGAAATAGAGCATTGGCCCTGGAGTCAGGAGGACCTGAGTTCAAATTCGGCCTTGGACCAAACACTTGACACTTACTGTCTTTGTGACCCTGGGCAAGTCACTTAACCCCAATTGCCTTTTAAAAAAAAAAGATACATATAGAATAGACTGGAAATAATCAACAGAGGCAAGGCACTAGCATTAAGGGGGCTTGGGAAGGACTGGTAAAGTTGAAGCTGGGGCTTAAAGGAAGCCTAGAGGCAGGGATGAGGAGTGAGGGCAGGCCAGGTGTGGGAGGAAAACACATATAGTAGGGAGATTTTTGGAGAGATTGGAGCTCCTTGGCCAAGAGGCCAGTGTTACTGGATCATATTATCCCTGGAAGAGTGGGTATGTGAGAAGATTAGAAGGGCATGAGAGACCAGGGTATAAAGGGCTTTGAACACCAGGCACAGTATTTTGTGTTTGATCCTGAAAATAATCGGGAATCAAGTTTATTGAATGGGCATATGGTGTGACCTGTGGCAGCTGGGTGGCTCGGTGGATAGAGTGCTGGCCCTGGAGTCAGGAAAATGAGCTTCCTGAGTTCAAATGTGTCCTCAGACTCTAGCTGTGTGACCCTGGGCGAGTCACTTCATGCTGTTTCTCTCAGTTTCCTCATCTGTAAAATGAACTGGAGAAAAAATGACAAACCACTCCAATTTGTTTTGTTTTGTTTTTTTGCCAAGAAAATCCCAAATGAAGTCGTAAAGTATAGGACACGAGCGAAACGACTGAACAACAACATGGTGTGATCTGGTCAGGCTTGTGCTTTGGGAAGATCACTAACTGAGAGGAGAATGGATTGGAATGAGGAGATCGATACTTGAGTCTGGGAGATCAGCTAGAAGACTGATATGTTAGTAATGATACCAGTAGTTCAGAAAAACCTGGGAAGACTTATGTGACTGATGCAAAGCGAAGTGAGCAGAACATGTACACAGTAACAGCAATATTGTGTGATGATCAACTGTGAATGCCTTAGTTGTTCTCAGCATGCAGTGAGGCAAAAGAATTCTGAAGGGCTTACGATAGAAAATGCTGTCCACATCTAGAGAAAGAACTAATGGAGTCCGAGTGCAGATAGAAGCATACTTTTTAAACTTCATTTTTCCTGTTTTTTCTTTTTTTTTTCTTTTGGTCTGTTTTCTTTTGCAATATGAATAATGTGGAAATATATTTTACATGACTGCAAAAGAAAACACAGACCAAAAAGAGAAAAAAAAGAAAACATTCAAAACTTGGCCTTGATTGATACCTTCTCTCCGATCATTATTATACAGCATTATTGTTACACACACCTTATTTTTCTCTTGCCACAGATTGCCTCTTCCCAGCAAATAACCATCTCCCAAAATTGTTGAGAATTGTCACTAAAGAAATGCACACAGAGCGTTTTGTGTCTTTTTTCTTTCGTCAATGTTTGCATGGGATTTGTTCTCATGTGGAGATGGGGGCCCAACTAGAGCAGGAAAGTAGCTCTCAGGCACTGACCATGGGGAGTGGAAGTGGGAAAATGCTGGATAGGAGCCAGACAACCAAGCTTCAATCCAATTTGATTATTGAATAAGCTTTGTGACTTTGAGTAACTTACTTAACCTCTCTGGACCTCAGCTACATCATTAGTAAAATGAGAATAATTTATATTTGCCCTGACTATAAAGGTCAGAGGGGATGATAGAGAAAGAGCTTTGGAAACTGTAATGTGCTGTATAATTGCCTATTAATAATGTAGCCAGTAAATTCCTTTTGCTGTTTTTATTTTCCTCTTAAACTTTTAGGGAAACGCTATCTGCTTACAGATGATGTCGTGAAACTGCAGGAATTCCAGCAAGTGAAGGTAGCGGTTTCCTCTCGATTTCATGGCAAAAAAGGTAATGGTGATGATTTGGTTAAGCTGGTTTTTATTGACTGATCCTCACCACGTGATGATGATGATGATGATGATGATGATGATGATGATGATGATGATGATGATGATGATAGTTAGCATTTATATAGTGCTTACTGTATACCAGGCAATGTGCTTCCAAAGCCCCTTATAATTGGATCCTACTTTACCTATGCCTCAGAGTTTTTCATCATTCCCCAATATATAGCCGTTTCTTTAATCCGACTGGTCTTGCTGTCCTCTCCATATGTCCTGTCTATTCCTGCCTCCATTTTTTTATTATATCCCTGTCAACAGAATTTTGAATTCAGTCCAGACTGGACTGGTGTCTAACCTGGGAATGGCCAGAGCTGAACAAAGCAGGCTAGAGGCGGGTGTGTCAGGACACAAAGTCATGGCATAATTTATTTCAGAGTGAGGGAAATGACTTGCAAGGAAGCCGCCCCCCTCCTGAGAAGGAGGGCTTTAACATGTTAAGGTACAAGCAATGTTTATATGCATAAGTGGGCTAGACTGTGACATAATCATTCTTAGGTCTTGAGTAGCAATCCCATGCGTGGACAATGCCGGTACAGTCTCCAAGTTGATTGTCTCACAGCAGGGTACAGTACCTGGTTTGGTTCACTTAGCTGTTACAAGGAATGAGATTGTGAACAAGTCAAGCAAGGCGATGGATGGCTCTCAGGTTGCTGGGAAGATACGGGGCAGTAAACACCTGGTGCTTGGTCAAAGCAGTACCTTTTGCCAAAGAGTGAGATCATTCACGGCACAAAGAATAGTTGTTATGCCAAGCTCAGGGCATAGTCTGCTTGGAAACAGGGTGCCTCCAGAATATTTTGACATCCCCTGGTAGAATGTAGGGGTGACTAGATAGTTCAGTGGATAAAGTGCTGGGCCTGGAGTCAGGAAGACTCATCTGAGTGAGTTCAAATCTGGCTTCAAACACTGCTATGTGACCCTGGGCAGGTCACTAGGCCCTGTTTGCCTCAGTTTCCCCATCTGTAAAATGAGCTGGAGAAGGAAATGGCAAACCAGTCCAGTATCTCTGCCAAGAAAACCCCAAATGAGGACACATAGAGTCAGACATGACTGAAAAACGACTGAATAACAAAGTAGAAGGAAAGTTTTTTTTTGTTTTGGTTTTGGTTTTTTTAGGACAGGAATTAGATGGTTGTTGTTCTGTCTTGGTATCCGAAGCATCTGTCCTAGTGCAGGGCACACAATAGGTGTTGAATGAGTGTTTATTGGCTTGTACTGTGTGACATTTGTTTATGTCTTCCCTTTACTTGAGATCCCTTCTCTTGTGACATCTGCCTATTTACTCTTCAAAACCCAGCTCAAAGTCCATAAGCTTTCTGAAGCATTCCCTAGGCTAACTCACACTGATATGTATGTTTTTTGGACTTGGATTTTATTTACAGTCACTGTTGTATGACTTAGTGCTTGTTTGGTCCATGATTGTTTTATTTATGTGCATCATATCCTCCTAATTGGATCCCCAGTTGCTTGACAGTAGAGAACACATCTTATCCCAAATACCCCCAATAGCACCTAGCACCATGCTGGGAATGTGGTAGCTACTCAGTAAACAATTGTTGATTCATTTTAAAGTGCGGATTAAATCCCTTGTAACTTTGAATACTTGGAGACTTACTTGAGCAGGTGGAGAGTTACTCCATTTAAAATCTCAGTAGATTTGAAATCTCTAGACTAGGGGTGGAGAACCTAGAGCTACGTGGCCTTCTAGGTCCTCAAGTGCGGCCCTTTGACTGTATCCAAACTTCACAGAACCAAACCCTTTAATAAAAAGATTTGTTCGATAGAGCTTGGACTCAGTCAAAAGGCCACACCCAAGGACCTAGAAGGCCACATGTGGCCTTGAAGCCAAAGGTTCCCCACCTCTGCTCCAGATAATGGAGATAATATGTCATAGAATCAGTGTTAGAGCTAAAAGGGACTTCAGAGAGCTAAACCAACCTCCTCATTTTACAGATGAGAACACTGAGGCCCAGAGAGTTGAGTAGATAGAGATACTTGAATAGGTCTGCCACATTATTGCTGTGGACACTCCCTCCAGCCCCACCTCCTGCCTACACTACTTCATACTGTAAGAATCTTGTCCAAGTCTTTCTGCCAACTTCCATAGAGAATCCACCCAGTGCCCGGAAGGCCAGCCTCTGTTTCTTTTAATATCCTGTGCTTATGAGGGCAGCTCCCTGAGCCCCCGAAACATGAGAATACTGAGGTAGGACATAGGCAACATTATTATAGAACCACTCAGTCAGCCTTCCTTAATTTTATTTTAAAACAGAAAAAAATTCCTTTCCTCTGATTTAAAGTCTTGTTTTCATAGTATTTCTGCTTTTATTTTTTGTGGAATGCCCAAGTCGTATTCTTCCAAAATACTTGACCATCACAGTTGTCACTAAATCTTGTACATTGTTTTTTTTTTTAATCAACTTAAAATACTAAGAAAGCCACACTGCCTTCTGGAAAGCAGATACCTGCTTTCTGTTTGACTCCCAACCTCTCTCTGAGCAGCTCTTAGCTAGAATCCAGCCTTTCTAACTTCAAAAAATAGTATTTACTTTGGGGCTGCCCTCACAGTTACTTACATGGGAATACATCCTTTGCAAGAAAGGTTAAAGACTCTGGGTCTGCTAGTTCAGTGATCCTACCACTAAAAAGAAACTGTCTGCTTTTGCTGCTTACATTTAAGCAACAAAAGCCCCAAAACAACAAAGCCCAAAAGTCAGGTAGAAAGAGAAGTAAGAAGGAGGTACTGGGGTAGAGTTGAGTTACGTGAAAGAAATGCAAAGAATTCCCAGATGGCGCAAGGTCAAACATTGTTGCTAAAAAGAAACAGATAAAAACCATGTTTCCTATACCTTTAGTTCTTTGTTTCCTTTCTGTTTTCCTACTGAGGGTCTACAATAACTCATCTGCCAGTAGATTTTATATATGCCTCCATTTTGTTTCCTTTTTCCCAACTTAGCTTCTATCTATAGACCTTGTAAGACCAGTCTGCTTGAGGTAGGCCTCACTGTCTGTCCCCCATTCATGGAATATTCTCCTTACTCACTTCCTCCTTCCTTTAAATTTTCTCTTTAAAAAATCAGTTCAAATCCTGCTCTCTGCAGGAGATTTTTCCAGTCCTCCCAGCTTTCCCCGTGAGGTTACCTTGCATCTCCCTTATGAAAAGGTGAATTTCCTGAGGGTAGGCTCTGTTTTTTGCCTTTTTTTGTGTCCACAGCACTTAGCACAGTGCCTGACATATGATAGACACTTAATGCTTGTTGATTGACTCCTATTGAACATGGTCTTCCATAGGACTCATGGACCCTGAATTCCTTTTAGTCCTCTACTATCATTAGCTGAGATTAGTTTCTCTTCTCTCCCTCACAGTGTAGCCTAGGTGATGACTGCCGCACTTGAATTTCTTCTTTTATTTTTTTGTTATATTTTTACTAATTTGTTTATTTTTAGTTTTCAGTATTCACTTCCACAAGATTTTGAGTTCCAAATTTTCTACCCATCTCGCCCCTCCCCTCACCTCAAGACTGTGCATTCTGAATACCCCTTCCCCGATCCTGCCCTCTCTTCTATCACACTCCCCCTTCGCTTATCCCCTTCCCCTTCTATTTTCCTGTAAATCAGGATAGATTTCTATACCCCATTGCCTGTATATATTATTTCCCAGTTTTATGTAAAAACAATTTTTAACATTTGTTTTTAAAGCTTTGGGTTCCAAATTCTCTCCCTTCCTTCCTCCTCACCCACCTTCATTGGGAAGGCAAGCAACTCAATACAGGTTGTACATGTGTAGTCATGCAAAACACTTCCATAGTAGTCATGTTGTGAAAAGCTATGTTTCCATTCATCCTCTCCCATCCCTCGTTTATTCCATTCTCTCTTTTTTGACCCTGTCCCTCCTTAGAAGTATTTGCTTCTCATTACCCCCTTCCCTAATCTGCCCTCCCTTCTATCATTTCCCCACTTTCTTATCCCCTTGCCCCCTATTTTCCTGTAGGGTAAAACACTTGGATTTCTTTCAGAAATCTATTTTAAAGACATGGAAGAAAAGATGAAGAAAAAGGCTCTCATCTTAAAGGAGGAACTGAAAACCCTGCTCCATTTATGTGAGACCCGAGATGACATGGAGCTAGCAAGAAGTGCTATTTACAGGTGAGCCCCTTTACCTGCTTTTTACCTATGGATAGAGAAATGTTCCAGGGCCCTTTTAGGAATGATCCTTCTCACCCTATCACTGACAGAGAGTAGGGAGGTGTGTGGGGGTAAGAACGGGAGTGGGGGGGGGAAGGTAAGATCATCACAGTAGTCACCACTTCACACAGTCTACATGTTACCTTTTCTACCAGTAGGAAATTGGGAATATTTATTATACTATTGAGGTTTTACAAAATTGAATTTTTTATATATCTTTTTGCTCGCCTTCCCTTCTGCTACTTGTCCTCTCTTCTATCACTCAGTGTCTTGGATACCCTAATTGTCCCTTGGGTTTCCAAGTGCATGTGGACACCCGATGATGCACAGTTCTCCTGCTTTAGTCTTACTTTCCTGAAAATGAGCTGACCCATGTTGTATTAGCCTTAGTTCTGCCTGTTAAAGGTGATCCTTTTTCTCTGCGTGATCTCTCATTTCTGTGCCACGTGCATATTGAGAAAGCTAGCTAGGTGCATGATTGAAATAATCACTGTGTCTCACCACCATCAAGTCATCTTCCTGTGAGATCACACCAAGCTCTGAAACTCAAATCTCTTGGACCCCATGTCCCTGGTGTCCCTCCTGCCTTCTGAGTGGAGATGATGGAGGGTGGACATTAAAGAGCTCCTCGTGGATCCTTCACTTTAGGAGGGGCTTAAGATAGCCATCTCATCATTTCCTACCCAGCTGCAGGATTTGCTAGACCCATTTCCTTCTCCTCACCCATCACCATCACCCCCTCTTTTTGGTTCTTCTTTAGATATCCCCCCATTAATTTCCCTTTAAGAATCAATTCAAGCATATAATTTATTCATTATATTTATATGTAAATATATAATATGTTATGTTATATATTATATACATATATTATAATATAATTTATAACATATAATTATATTATGATTATAATATATAAAATATATTTATATATTATAATTCAGCATATAATTTGTTCTTTATATATAGTATATGCAAAGTGCTCCATATTAGTTACAATTTTCTTTTAAAAAAAAAGAAAACAGTTTAGGGGCAGCTAGGTGGCTCAGTGGATTGAACTCTGGCCTTGCAGTTGGGAGGACCTGAGTTCAAATCCAGCCTCAGACACTTGACACTTACTAGCTGTCTGACTCTGGGCAAGTCAATTAACCCCGATTACCAAAAGCAAAATAACAAAAATTATTGATGCCTTTTGTCTTTTACATCATGGTTATTTCAACCACTGAAGCCCTCCCTTGTGACAGAAAAAATCCAATTAACCAAAAACATCTGGTGCACTGACCATTTCTGACGTTATATTCAGTATCCTGTACCAGTAGGAATCCACCTCTGAAGAAGGAGGTATGTTTCGTTATCTGTTCTTTATTATCTGTTTTCTAGTTTTTCAGAGATTGACCTCCTGTGAGTGAGCTTGTTTATATTATCTTTTTTTTTTTTAATGGCTAGGCAATGGGGTTAAGTGACTTGCCCAGGGTCATCCAGCTAGTGAGTGTCATGTGTCTGAGGCCGGATTTTTGAACTCAGGTCCTCCTGAATACCTAGCTGCCCCAGCTCATTTATATTGTCATGGTCATTATGTAGATTGTTTTCCTGGTTCTGCTTATTTTGCTCTGCATTAGTTCATATAGAGCTTCCCATGTTTCTATGAATTCCTCATGTTTATCATTCTTTTTCACACACTAATATTTTATACACGATAACCATTTTTTAGCCCATTCTGTAATTTTCTTTAATTTGCAAAAATAATTTACATTGGTGTAATGATTTAAGGTTTCCAGAGTGTCATCAATATATTATCTCATTTGATCCTCATCATACAACAATTATTATTTTTATTGTCATTTTATAGCTGAGATTAAATGACTTGTCCAGGTCGCATATCTGATTTGGGATTGGAACTGCTGCTTCACCAGGCTGCCTGATTAGATCAGGGACATCTGAAATGTATAAATCACCATTATTGTCGATCATAAAATTCATGTAACCAGCTATAACTGACGAATCATAATGTAACTCCCAACTTCCTTCAGTGATTTCAGTTAGTCAGTAAACTTTTATTAAGCACCTGGGGCCCATCTGCAGTCATCCTGATCTATATGTGGCCACTGGATCCAGATGGCTGTGGAGGAGAGAGTGAGACTGGTGACTTTGCACAGCCCTCCCTCCCTTAAATCCAATTCACTTGCAAGTCATGGTGTCACCTTCCCGATGTCCTGGGTCCTCTTTGAGTATGAAGGACAAACAACAACCTATAAGCAGTCTGAGCTGCCCTTCTGGGGGACCCAACTAGAACCCAGTTCGAGTTGGGAAATGCAGCTCCTTCCTTCCTCCCTCCCTTCCTTCCCCTTCCTTTCCCTCCTTCCTCTCCCTCAGTCCACATAGATTATCATACCCTTACCTGCAGTTGCTTGGCCCAAAGGAATGTACATTTTGGTGGCTGAAACCTAGCTAGTTTTCTTGGGGTTTAAGGGCTAGATTTCTATAAAGACCATGCCTTAAAACCAGTGCACTCTGGCTTCTATTGATTGGCCAACAAGCACCACTAACTAACCAGTGGTGCCCAAGCACCACTTAGTGGTCTTTGTTTGGATCCCAGAGGCTCAGAGTGAATGTAAATACTAATTGTTTCTGTTTTGGCTAGAAACCCTAAAGGTCTTCACCTCCCAAATTGATTTTTAAAAATTTTTTGGATTAGGTACAAGGGGCCGTTCTCTGTCTCATTTTTTTTTCTTTTAATTATTTTTAGTTTTCAGCAATCACTTCCATAAGTTTTTCAGTTTTAAATTTTCTCCCCTTCCCTCCCTATTGAGGTTTAGGGGTTTAGGGGGGCTGGGACCCCAAAATCACAACACGTAGGTCCTGCCTGAAAGAATTCAACCCAACCCTTTTAGCCGAAGACAGGGTTTATTAGAACATCCATCATATTGGGCAGACTCTTAAGGAGTCAGAATGTTAAGAAAGGTATTGACTAGATTTTAAGAGCCCATGGCTAGATTATAAGAATCTGAGCATCTTAGTAGAGTCAAGATGGACCTTATATACAGAAAGACTATGGGAGGGATCTAGGAGTGGCCTAGTAGTCTATGAGGTAATAGAACTCCAGGGACTTAGACCCTGTGGCCTAGGGAGAATGGAGCCTAGATAGGATTAAGGGTGGGAAGTGGCCTGGGGCCATAGGGAGATAAGACAATGTAGGGCTAGGCTAGGTTAAGGGTAATTGAATTGGGAGATTGGGTGTAGCCACAATGAAAGACCAGCTGATGGGATTATAGCCTCAGACTAATGCCAATTTGGCCATGTGGGAAAGTCCAGGGTTTTTCCTTTTTGGGGTCTAGATGACATCCTCATCATTCCTGCCTCCTCCTCAAGACTTCCGCGCAATCTGATATAGGCTTTCCAGATACATTCCTATTAAACATTTTCACATTAGTCTTGTAAAGAAAAATTAGAAGCAATAGGAAGAACTACAAGAAAGAAGAAACAAAACAAAACAGAAGAAAAAAAAGAGCAAATAGTAGGTGTCAGCAGGCAGAGGAGGGCAGCTCTAAGTTTCTTCTTTCATTAACCATTAGCCCTAGAATAAGCCATGTGCATGCAGTCCTTGCACCTCTGAATCTCCCTGATTCCCTAGAAATCCATAGTAGGTATTTGTCCCCTTCCCTTCTCTCTTACTGTTTGATAATTTCATCTTTTTCATTATTAGGTACCATGCTGAAAACAGAAATGTCTGCTTTGGGGAATTTAAGTTTGGACCCCTTTTTATAAGGCTTTGCTATGAGCTGGACCTAGAACAGTCTGCGATGGAACTCATCAAAGACCAGGTCTGTCATTTATAATTTGTCTGCTTTGGCCATTTTCATGAGGGTGACCTTGGCCATTTCCATGAGGGTGTCATTGGCCGCTTTCCATAAGGGTGACATTGGCTATTTCCTGTAAGGGTGACACGTTTCCTTTTTGATAATGCCGTGGAGAAAAGTCGCCTCCTTTTCACATGTAGTTTTCCTTTGTGCCACTGCAAATCTAGCACTGAATTGTTTGGGCCATTGGTATAACCCAACACAGTTTGCTTTTTTCCACTTCTTTGGGTGCTAGTCCCCATTAAAATATGTCAACATATTAGTTGTAGCAGCAGTGTGGGTGATTGCCAGTAACATATAATTCATCAGTAACATATAATTCATATAAACAAAGACAGACAGATGTCTTCTCTCTCCAGTCAGAGCTCACAGCCATATTCAGAGGAACAAAGCATTCCCAGGGTGGTGCTCTCCATTTCTGGGCCATTCCTTCCTTCCCACTTTTGTGTCTTTTCTTCTGGTTATTTATAGCAGAAGTATCACACATGCACATTGCTGCCTACGTTTCTTCCAAATGTAACTGGGTGATATTTAACAAAATAAATAAAAGTGCAATAGAATATAGATAATGTTAATATGTGGTTTCCTAGGTCAGTCCATGGGGATCATTATGTGTGATTTAGTGGCCCCCTGTTTCTTTTTGAGTTTGACACCACTGATTTACAAGACCTTGGATTTTGATCTGGAAAGGGCCAGTCATTAAATCCAACCCCCCATTTTGTAGATGAGGAAACTGAGACACAGAGAGATTAAGGGATTTACACATAGTCACCCAAATCACTAAAGCAGAGCCAAGATTTGAACCCATATACTTGGATTCTAAATCCAGCATTTTTTCTGCTGAATCACTTGTTACAGTTTTTAGAACATTTAAACATATTGTTATTTCATCTGATACTCATAAGATCTCGCAGATGTGGGAAATGAGGTACACAGAGCTTAATTGACCTGCTGAAGTCACAGTTAGTTGAGACTTATAGGCTGGGTCTTCCCTTAGTCTAGGGCATTTTCAGGAACAAACTGGCTGGTAAATCAGAGGTTTATTAGGAGCTTCCTTAGTTACACTAAGTTTTCTTCCACAGGAAGGTTTGCACATTACTGAAGAGTTAAGGTATACTGTACTTTCAGAGGACCCACATATAAACATCTACCTTACACAAGAAATGAATGAGAAAGTGATTTTATAGGAAAAGGAATTCTATGCTTTTAACACTGGGAATGCATCTTTGTGCGTTTAGGTGTTTATTGACAGCGTAATACCACCAATATAATAACAATAACCATAATAATAATGTATAGCTATATATTTAAAGTTTATACAGTACTTTCCTTACAATGACTCTGTGAGGTAGATATTGCAGGTGTTGTTACCACTGCTGACATAAGATTTAAAAAAAATAATAATAATGGCTGTGAGCCCATTGAATGTTTGAATATTTGAAAGTCAGCCTAGCGTGATGGATTGGGAGCTGATTTAGAACTCTGGAAGACTTGGGTTCAGGTACTGCCTCTGACGTACACTGGATATCTGACCATAGGCAAAGCAGTTGCCCTTTCAGTGTTCCGGGCCACCCTCTGAGACTGCAAGTTACACAACAGTTACAACTCTGCATTAGAAGAGGGAAGGTCGGGGCAGCTAGGTGGTGTGTGGATAGAGCACCGGCCCTGGAGTCAGGAGGACCTGAGTTCGAGTCTGGCCTCAGACCCTTGACACTAGCTGTGTGACCCTGGGCAAGTCACTTAACCCCAATTGCCTCACAAAAACAAACAAAAAAAAAAGAAGAGGGAATGTCTTTGTTTAGAACCAATAATATCAAATAATAGCTAATATCTATGTAGTGCTGACTATAGGCCAGGCACTGTGCTAAGCACTTTATAGTTATTATTTCACAGAAATGATCATTGTAAAGCACTTACTTAGCACGGTGCCTGGGCCATAGTCAGAACTATATGTTAGCTATTATCATAGAGAAAATAATTGTAAAGCGCTTAGCACAGTGAATTATTATCTCTAGGAGATACTTATTGTAAAACACTTAACATAGTGCCTGACACATAGTAAGCACTATATAAATGTTAGATATTATAGAGAAAACAATTTTAAAGTATTTAGCCAAGTGAATTATCTCTAGGAGATAATTATTGCGAAAAGCTTAGCATCGTGAATTATCATCTGTGAGATAATCATCGTAAAGGACTTAGCACAGTGAGATAATAATCATAAAGCATTTGCACAGTGCTTAGGACATTTGTTGTTTTTGGTTAAATAACTATACTTGTTAGCAAGGATATGCAGATAATGTTTAACAACCTTCTCTCTGTGGGGAGCGGTAGGATTATACACATGACCCACTTTGAAGTTTAATCTACAGTACTAATGTTCTTCATCACAAAAGTCTAGAAGATCAGCAAAACAATCACTCGAGCCATGATTTGTAGCATTTGCCAATTTTCTAAGGTATAAATGCTCATGCTAAAAATTTAACAATTGGCTTTTGTGAACTGGTACTACCAGCATAGTGCTGCCTGTCAGAGAGAAGGGGCTAGTTTGTCTCTTCCCGGCAAATGCCTTGTCTTGTGAACTCCCCCCACCAGTTCTCGGGCTGATATTGACAGTGTTCGCTTGACTCTGAGCCCCCAGCCACAGTGGGACCTGCACCACTGGGAGAATGTTGACTGTTCTCTTTCCTCAGATGTTTGGAGGCCTCATCCCAAGAGACACACGTGCCAGGAGGGAAGGAGCCTGCCGTCAGATCAGTCCTCCTCTTAGTGGCCAGGTGTCAGGTTTTGAACAGTAAACCCCTGCTGTGTCAGGAGTACATCTATACATCCTGAAGGCTGAGTGTGCAGATTGTACAAGGAGATAAATCCTGATAGATAAGACCATGTAAAAACCATGGAAGAGTAAAAACCACCTTAGTAGTTGCTGATGTTAACTGCTCTCTCTGGTTGTTTTCTCCTGCAGCATTTGCATGGTTTCTTTTCAGACTGTACATCGTTCAATATCCTGATGAATATGTTATTTATCAAAGGCAATTATGAAGGTAAGTATGTAGTTGTGTTTCTAAAAACAGGCTCTGACCTTTTTGTAAGCACAGCAAAATGAAAAATTAAGCAATGCTTAAAAAAAATGGATGCATATGATCCCATTGAACATTGGAGTTATGGAAACCCCCCCTTTTTTTTTAAAGTCTAAAAGAATGATTGCGTGTCTGGTTTGCTTTAACGAGGCATATCAGATTTCACTTGTGCTGAAAACGCATGGAGTTATAAAAGATTTGTGTTCTGTCAATGCTTTTCTTTTGGCAGGTGCCTTGGAGGTTTTAATAGAAATGAAAAACCAAGGGGTAAGGTTCAATACAGACACCTACATCCTTGCTTTTGCAATTTGCTACAAACTGGTAAGATGATCTTTAATTTTCAAAGCGTGGTAGGTTGAGGAGTCTTAGGGACAGTTTTTTTGTTGCAGCTGGGTTTTTTTTCCTTTTTAATAAATAAAACCTAATTCATCTTAAGTCTAAGATTTCCATCTGCTGTAAAATTTTCATTTATAAGTGTACTGATTTAAAAAAAAATTAAGCTGTAATGAGAAACAGCATGGAATGGTGGATAGAGAATTGACCTTGGAGTCAGGAAGTCCTGATTTCAGGGCCAAACTGGCACACATCGACTGTATGACCTTGGACAAGTCACTCTCCTTGCAGCTTTCTAAGTAGGTTCCAGTCTGCATTGGTGAATAGATTCTCCTTATCCACAAATTCCCTGCACTACTGAAGTCACAGCTTTTTTCTGGAGTGGAAAAAAAAAGCATATAGAACAGCTTTTCTTTAAGGAAAAATGTTTCATTTTGGGTTTTTTTTTCCTTTAGAGTAGGTTCCTCTTACTTTTAGAACCTTTTGGTAAGAAGGGGAGTCATAAATAAAAGAAGAACAACACTGAAATTGAGGAGATCAGGAGACCCAGGTTCTAGTCTTTATTATGCTACTAAATAGCTATGTGACTTGGGTTAAGTATTATTATGTTATTGACATTTCACCGCTCAAGGCCCAAAGGGGGAGGGATTAAATGATCTCTAAGGTCACTTCCTACACTAAAAGCCTGTGAGCCTAAGTCTCTACCTTATTACTTTTGTTGTAAGGCTCCTGTTTTCTCCTTTCATAATACTCTTCTCCTCCATTTCCACTACCTTCAAGGCTCAGCTCAACTGCCTCCTCTGTGAAGCCTTCCTTCCTTCCCCTTACCCCAGCCAGAGGCCATCTTGCTAATGCCTGTGCCCCTGGAGCACTTGGTACCACTCTTGACACTTGATGAATACTGCTTTATGTTGTAGTCAGAGCCATGAAACAATGAGCAGGTATAAGGCACAGGTTCCGAAGGAAAGAATTTTTTTAAGTTAACATTCCAGTTTCATCCATTCGAAGCTCTTTGGAGTAATGATACCTGGGAAAGGTGAGTGAAAGGTTGTGGCAGTTAGGGGGCGCAATAGAGAAGGAGTATTGGACTTAGGAGTGCAGAAGTTCTGAGTTTAAATGTGACTTCAGACACCAGCTCTGTGACCCTGGGAAAGTCACTGAATCCCGTTTGCCTCAGTTTCCTCATTTATAAAATGAACTGGAAAAGGAAATGGGAAACCACTCCAATGTGTTTGCCAAGAAAACCCCAAAATGGGTCATAGTCGGACATGACTGAAAATGACTAAATGACAATTGGCTAGCTACAGGGGTGGGGAACCGGTGGCCTTAAGGCTAGATGATCTCACTTCTTCAGTTTATCCTCCCTACTGGTTTATTTTATATTTATGCTTTCAGGCAGTGTGTAGGTTTGAGGGGGGGAGTGGGACTTAGGGTGGAGATAGTGGCCCCAAAATAAACTTTTAACACTGTAGATATTGAACGTAACAAGCCCAATTCTTTGACCTACCTATTGCATTCAAGACAGGACAGTCAAAACTCACATTTCATGTAGCAATTTCCAGTTTTCAAAGTTCTTTGCTAGTAAGAGTCCTGTAGGGTAGAGGGTGTGATCCACAGTATACAGTACTATCAGTCCCATTTTACAAATGAGGAAAATGAGCTACAAAGAATTTAAAGTCATACAGCATGTACATGGCAGAGTCAAGCCTGCCCATTTCATTATCCAGTCAGCTTCCTATAGCGAAGCCCCTGAGGGGAAAGAATTTGAGCAACCTAGGGAGAATTTTCTTCCAGATTGCTTAGAACCAGAATTGGAGGATTGGCTTGGTCAGATTTCATTAATTGTCACAATAGTACTAAAAACTCTTATTTACATAGTGCTTATACATATTTATGTATTATGTATTTGTAATGTATGTATGTATGTATCTATGTGTGAGTGTGTGTGTGCACGTATGCATAGTGTGTTACCCTTATTTTACCGATGAGGAGACTTAGAAAGCTGTAAGTGACTTGCCCAGGCCACATAGGTAATGAAAATCAGAGCTGGGACCTGAACCCCCGAGTGTTCTGATTCCAAACCCAGCGTCCTTTTGACTGTACCAGGTTTTTTCTAGACCGGTAAATGTTTGCTATTGTTCTGAGAATAGTCTCCTCTTTAAATTATCAAATTCTGTCCTTTCTAAGCAGACCTTACCTTGAAGATGTTGGTTGTTATTCAAGTCATGACAGACAAAAGCAAAAACTCACGGTAGACAATGATCTCATAAGTCTGCTCTGTTTCCAGTAACTATGAAAGGATGATTGAGGGCAGGAATTCAATTTTACCCTTGAAATCTCTTTGTTTTGCTGGTTTGTGGCCCGTTTTCTTCATTTAAAAAAATCAGTTTTCATGAGAGCCTTTCAAGATGTGACCTCAGATTGGCGTGCAAGTTTGAAAAGACTTGATGTGCATCAGTGCATACTTGCAGAATGGAAATCTTCCCAGCTAGATGTTCTTCCTGAGTGCTCAGCTTTACTTCTGGGAGAATTCTGTATAGTTAACACACCCGACATCTCGCTTATTTCTATGTATGGGTCCATATGCAGAAGCTGGTCATTTGTGGAGATTAGCCCAGTCACATGCTGGTAGGTAAAGGCCTGTCCAATTTCAAGGAAAAGCTTGATTCAAAGCTTTAAAAAAAAAAAAAAGTTAATTTAAAGCTACTGTTTTTAAGTAACAGGGAATTAAAAGAGAAAATATCAACAGAAAACACTTTCACTAAATTTTTAAAAATAGGATCACTTATTTAATTGTTTTTTAATTAAAATATGTGTTGTGGTATTAGCACTGTCAATTATTTGTCTAAGCCCTTTTTCTGTATGTGGAAAATCCTTAACTGCCAATTTGCAGATGCACCACTTTCTTTGTACTCAGACCAGAGTCTATGTGTGGACCTTCTCAGCTTTCAAGGAGAAAGATCCAAGGCTAGTGGAGAACCCTGTTGACTCATCTCAACGAGCTTGCAAGAACATGAAGATGACTCACTAATTGTCTCTTTGCAGAACAGTGCTGATTCTTTCAACGCCTGCATGACTTTACTGGACGAAGCGCTAATCAAAGGAGAAGTTTTGACAAGGCGAGCCTATGGTTTTGCCATAGCATTAGCTTTGAAACAGGTATGGATCTGGGTGGGGAGTCCATATAATTCAAAAAGCATCTTAGAGATAGATACAGAGGAAAGGTACGTTAGTCTGACTGCTTTCAATAATGTTGACATTTTTTCCCATATGGTTTGGTCTTCCATTCAATTCAACAAGATTTTAGGAGGTGCCCATTATTATTACAAGCACTGTGTTAGGAATTACGGTTACAGGGTCGAAACCTGAAGAGTCCATGCCCTTCCTCACAAAGCTCATTTTTGAAAGAATAACACCTTTCAGTGTCCTGGCAACCGAAATCTGTGGTTATGGCCTTTGGTGTCAAAGTCAAAAAGAAATGGGAGCTACAGGGATCCACAGGGATCCTTAACTACATAAGGATCCAGGCATGCTGCATATTGACTTAGAAGACATTAACATTTTCTATATTCTATTGTATTTTTATTTATTTTGTTAAGTATTTCCCAAGTACATTTTAATCTGGTTTAGGCCTTACTCAGGGGAGTTGTGGGTTAGTTGCGTGGTTGACACCTCTGCTTATGGTTACAGAGAAGGCTGTGCTTTCAGAAACTCAAGTTTCCATTTATAAGAGTTGGGGCCCAAGCCTCTGGAAAACTCAAGGAGAAATTGCAGAAGTGACTTGAATGAACTCCACAAGGCTTTTTTCATGTCCGGCAAGAGCTGCTAAGTCACCTGGATGCCCTCCTGAGCTGAATTCCACCTCCAATGAACGAGCATTCCAAAAGCTGCTCATTGTGAGGCCATGTGCATGGTGTGTTTCCCATGTTTCCAGGATACTTTTGAAGCATATAAGAAGGGAATTTTCCTCCTGGCAGCGGTGATAGCCCAACTGAGTACTTAAAAAGGTGACCAGTCAAGGTGTGGCCAAGGCATTCAGCTTATTGCTAGTTCAGTTTTCACAGGGGCCAGTGTATTTCCATGAAATTCAGGGAAAAGTCCCTGAATAACAAGGAGGAGATAAGGTGATTTACTGGGTGTGCACTGCTGTTCTTTCACTGGCAGTGTTCCCCCATCCCCTTAATTGTCTAACTTTCCTTTCTGATCGGAAGATTATAACATAGAGGAATAAGTATGCAAAGCTAAGAAGGTTGCACCAGTGCCTAGGATGAAGCTGCCACAGACATTTATCATGGGAGTAGCCATCGATAAAGGGGAATACTCACCTAGATAGTAGAGCTTTTTAGAGAACAGAAGCAGGGGTGCAGAATAGAAAGCATTGTTTAAGAAGTAGCCAAAGAGGGGCAGCTAGGTGGCGCAGTGGATAGAGCGCCGGACCTGGATTCAGGAGGACCCGAGTTCAAATCCGGCCTCAGACATGTAACACTTACTAGCTGTGTGACCCAGGGCAAGTCACTTAACCTCATTGCCTAGCTAAAAAAAAAAAAATAGAAGTAGCCAAAGAAGTAATTTAATGGAAAATTAGGCACATGGGAGCAGTCGGTTTCCTTCACAAAGTATGTACAATGAAGAGGTTTGATGCCCTCTCTTTTAGAGCAGCACCGCAGGCAAAGACTGACACCCCACTTGCATCCCCACTATAGGGCTGAGCCTATGTTTTGAGGGAGGATGCCAGGGTATAGGTGTCACACCACGCAGCCATCACCTGGGGATAGCCCTTTCCAGCCTGGCTCCTTCCCACCTTTCCAGTCAGTCCAGTGACACTGGGCCTCAATGCTCTTCCTTCCCCAAGATGCTGCATCTCTCAGCTCTGCCTTTTCACTGGCTATCCTCCATGTCTGGAATGTTCTCCATCCTTGTCTCCACCTCCTGGCTTCCCTTGACTTCTATCAAGACTCAGCTCCAATCCCACCTCCTATTGAAGGCCTTTCCCATCCTCTGCTTCTTTAGCACCTCCCCTCTTTCAATTACAACTGTATGTATCTTGTGTGCTCTTGTTTGCGTGTTATCTCTCATGATTTAGAACATGAGCCCTTTGAGAACAGGGACCTTTGTTCTTACCCCTAGCACAAGAGAAAATTAGCTTTCCTAAAACACGTGCTATGACCTTCAATTCCTAACAGTCTATTACAGGGGTGGGGAACTTTGTTCTATGAAGTTTGGATTCAGTCAAAAGACTGCACTTGAGGACTTCGGCGGCCATGTGTGGCCTCAAGGCCGCAGATTCCCCACCCCTGAAGGTGTTTAGACCGACCTTTCAAAACAGAATTAGTGTCATAAGACGCATATGATGTCCATTGTGTAATGCCATTTCTGTTTGAAAGATTGTAATGTGTTACCTAATTCTTAAACACGAACTTTTTATTTTTATATTTTATAATCTGACAGAACCATGGAATCATAGAATTTTAGACCTGAAAGGTGTGTTAGCTATTATCATTATCTAATTTTAAAACTTTATTTTAGAGATGAGGAAACTGGTCCAGAGAAGTTAAGTGATTTGTCCAGGGGTCACTCAGCAAAGGTCGAGGTCCTTAAATTTCTCTGAAGTCCTTTCCAGCTCTGAATCTAGGATCCCATGATTGTATTTGGCTCTAGTACTAAATGTACCAGAGGTCCTAAAGAAATAATTTTCTCTCTCTCTCTTTTTTAACTTTTCACATCTTTCTTATTTTTTAATATATTTTATTTTCTCCAATTATATGTTAAAGAAGTTTTTAGTTTTGAGTTCCAAATTCTATCCATCCCTTCCTCCCTCCCTCCTCCTTGAGATGATAAGCAATCTGATATAGTTTATACACGTACAATCATTTTTCACATCTTTTTAAAAAATATTTTATTGACATCTGTTGTTTTTACCTTGCCTGATTTCCCCCTTTTATATCTGGCCATCTCACTCCCAGAAGTGTACCTATTATAACAAAGAAGAAACAAAGAAGAATAAAAAAAAAGGAGACAATCAGCACAATAGGTCAATATATGCAAAAGAATATGGCAGTATGTGCAAATTTCCACTTCCATGGATCCCAATGTATGCCAGTGATCAAGGAGGGAGATATTTTATATCTCTTGTTTGGGGTCAAGCTTATTCTTTGTAACTTTCTCTCTCTCTCTTTTTTTAATGGTATCATCTGGTTTTGTCAGAATTGGTTTTAAAAATACCATATTTCACCGCATAATCTTCTCCACTGCATAATTGTCACACCCTGTTTGGTGTTTTTTGTTTGTTTGTTTGTTTTTTAAGTCCAAAAATTGGTTTATAGCCTTTCATTGTGTAATCATCACATGGTGTAATTCTCTTCATCACACTCCTTAAAAGGTAAATAGAGCAGCAATGTATTCACAAGTGGCATAGGGATATGCATTTATCTCTCGCTGCATTGCGAGCCATGAGCCTAGAATTCTTAGCACACATGCGTTGTCAGTATATTTCTGAAAGCCATCTTGTGTGGCTTGTTTAGATCGCCGCAGTTCTAATGGTATTGTCACTCAACAGAATGAAGAGCCTTAGGCACGAGGGGAGCAGGCTTCTGGCGAAGCTGCCGTGAATAAGTCACATTACGTAGTTAAGACTTGCATGTTCCCTCTCTAGCTAAACTGTGTAGTTCCTCTGCCAGCGATACGTTAATATGGGAAGCATTTCTTTCTCATTATGGATAAATATAAAAACTGTTCTGCGGGCTTCAAGCTGAAAGTGATTGTGTTCACTGAACAGTATGGAAATAGCTATGGAAAGACAGTTTGTAGTGAATGAAAAGTTGGTGGGAGACTGGCAGAAACTAAAAGACAAGCTAAAAAACACAAACCTTTCTTTCTTTTTTTTTTTTTGTTAGGCAGTGGGGTTTAGTACCTGCCCAGGGCCACACAGCTAGTAAGTGCTATGTGTCTGAGACTGGATTTGAACTCAGGTACTCCCGACTCCAGGGCCAGTGCTCTATCCACTGTACCACCTAGCTGTCCCCACAAACCTTTCTAGATGTGCATTTACAGGTCCTAAAACAAGCAAGTTTCCACAAATCGATGAAGAAGTGTTTGTGTATTCTGTGAATCCTAATCTTGCACCAAAGACAGTTTAGTAGTAAATGATTTTTAAGTAATACTGGCACAATTTAAACCCCCCCAAAAAAGCTCCACATAATGGTGGCACCCCACTTTTTTGCAAAAAAAAAAATTGTCATCAAAGCTGTGATAATTATGCGGTGAAATACATTATCCCTGTCATATTTATCTTGCCCTGGTGACAAAGAAAATCATTTATACCTATATGACAATATGTACAGTGTGAAGGAAAAAGAATAAGCATTTATATAATGCCTACTATGTGCCAGCACTTGGCTTTACAAATATTATCCCATTTGATCTTCATAATGATCCTGTGAGTTGAGTGCTATTATTAACCCATTTTATATTTGAGAAAACTGAGGTATTTATTTTTGGCATATTTAATAGAATTTACCTGTATTTCCATCCCCATGGTTTCTATTCTTATGCCTTATGGTTTATTCAGTTTCTTTTTCTGAGAGTGACTCATTTAAATTCTCTATTTCTTAATTTGTTAATATGGACGTTTTAATTTTTGTCAATTTTCATTTTCTTATATGATGATATTATTTCCATAGAGTTTGGCAAAATAATTTTAATAAGTTCCTTTGTTTCTTCTACATTTATTCTAAATTCTCCTTTTTCATTTTTGTTACTGGTGGTTTGATTTTCCTCTTTCCATTTTTTAAACCGGATTAGATAATAGTTTATTTTTTTTAAACACCACCTAGTTTTATTAGTTAAATCAGTGTGCTTTCTCTTTAAATTTTGTTAATATCTTTGATTTTCAGAATTTCTACTTTGATGTTTAATTGGATGGCTTTCTAATTACTTTCTTAGATGCTTGTCCAGTTCATTGATTTGGTCTTTCTTTTGTTAATGAAAACATTTAGAGAGATATAATTTCCCTCTGGCTACATCTGTAGCCTGTATGTCTTCTCATTTTAGTAATTTCTTTTGATGAAATTACCTTTTGTTCTTTGACTCACCAATTCTTTAGGATTAAGGTTTTTAGTCTTTAACTGGTCTTTGCTCCTTTCTTCTACAGTCCCGTTGAATATATTTTTTATTCAATTGTGGTCAGTAAAGAATATGCTTATTATTTCTACTTTTTAAAATTCCTTTGTGAGGATTTTATGCCTTACTACATGTCAAACATCTTCCCCTCCCAGATTGATTTTTTTTTTTTGACTAGGTAGAAGAGGCCATTCTTTGTCTCATTTCTTACCCAGCCTTGATCACTGAATGGGCATTGCCTCAGACAAACTGAAACCTAGGAAATAACTTTAGCTTAAAAAGGCCAAAGCCTCCCACTGCATCTGGGCCATCTCCAGTCATCCTGATCTATATCTTGCCTCGGGACCCAGATGGCTCCAGAAGAGAAAGTGAAACTGGTGACTGCACAGCCCTGCCTCACTTAAATCTAGTTCACTTGTAAGTCATGGCATTGCCTTCCTGATGTCATGGTCATCTTTGAGAACAAAGGACAAACAACAACACTTAATATGGTGCTTTGAAATATAGTGTTTGCTAAAGGTCTGTTGACTGACCACTGACAGTCACTCATTAGGAGCAATGCTATTTAAGGTTGCACTAGAATGAGAGCTAATGATCACTAGTGTTACCCACTTAGTTGAGGGGAAGGGAGAGTAAGTATTCCATGAAGTGGGGGCCACAAAGCTTGTGATTAGATGAAACAGGTCCAAAGAGGCCCCTGAACTGGCAGAGTTCTTAGAGCTCCATTTTTCTGTGTCTTAATGTGTGAGTTGTTGCAACCCCTTGGGATTTCCTTCCCAAGTGTTTCTGTCTAAGAAGTAGGCCCTATGGGCTTGTCCTGCAGGGAATAGCAACCCTAAGGTGGGGGGCCTCGTTCCATATCTTTCTCATTTGACCTTCTGAGATCACCAAGGAAAGAGCCCTGGGCCCAGCTGACTAGGACATGCTAGAAAGTCTCTGGTTGACATTTCTCCAACCCATTCTCACCATAAGAAGCAACAGAGAAATAGAAAAGAAATTTGCACACTGTTTGAAGAATTCTATATGATATTATTGTTTTAATGATTGGGAAAGGATTGTTTCCAGGATCACCTTTCAGGTTCTTGGAGGAAAGGAGGTGTTCTGTGGTCCTGGAGATCAACTAAATCTTCATAGATTTACCCTGATAGAACAATCTTCACCTATGATATTGCTCTTTTTTTTCCTTTCAGAACCAAGTGGCAAAGGCAAGATCCATTTATTCTCACATCATGAACCCAAACAGCAAAGCATGCAGTAATTTAAATGTAAGTGATCATTTTCAATATTAACATAGGCCCTGAAGGTCAGTAAAATGATGCCCGCTGTATAGGGATGGTGTGGATTTTGGTAGTCACTACATCTTTTTCTATAAAGTCTTTGTTCACTCTTAGTACCTTCAGCTACTTAGGGTGCAAAAAGGTGTGATACGAACAAAAAGTCAAGCACATTTTTAAATATATTTTTTAAACTTTAGGACAGTTACTGTACACAAGCTAGCCTTTTTGCAGATGGTGGGATAAGGAGAAAGCTATTTCTCCTATATAGATAAGGCAAGCAGAACTGAAGTCCATTATCACCCGAGAGGAAATTTCTTTTTTCCTTTAAATCCTGTTAATAGATTGTTCTTATCCTATCCACCCAGTCTAAGGTATGAAAGTCTTAAAGTTTAAAAACTGCACAAAGACTTTATGAAGATGCCACATAACCGGCAGCGGTCCCCTTCACTCTCACTCCCTCTGTTGGCCACCTTACCCAGCCTTAATCACTGAATGGGCACTGGCTCAGTCAAAGTGAGAACTGGGAAAGACCCTCGTTTACAAAGGCCAGGGTCTCCCACTGCATCCAGGGCCATCTCCAGTCATCTTGATCTGTATCTTGCCACTGGACCCATATGGATCTGGAGAAGAGAGTCTGGTGACTTTGCACAGCCCTCCCTCACTTAAATCCAATCCACTTGCAAATCATGTCTTCACCTCCCTGATGTCATGGTCCTCTTTGAGGACAAAAGACAAACAACAACAACCTCTCTCTAAAACACCGAGGAGCTGATTGCCCAAATATTAAAGAGTTCCACCTCTGCCCCTTAATTCTGACTTAAGTCTTTCTGACTCCCATTTCCTGCTATCTGTCCACTCTGCCACCTAGCTGCCTAGGTGGAGAAGTACAGGGGAGAAAGAGTTTGATACATCAAGAATTTAGAACCTTTGGAGTAGTATGAAAGTAGGTTGGAAAGTTACCTGAAACAGGAGGTCATCGAGAACTTTGAATGCCAGACCTCATCAGCTCTTAGAGGGATTAGAGACAGCTCCATCAGGAAACCCTTCCTTGTGTCTAAGCTAAATTTCTTGTGTGTTTTGGCTTAAGCCTCTTTCATATCGTAATCTCAGAGGAGAGGAAATAGAGAAGGTTGCCATTCTCAGAAGAATAGAGGTCAAATGTTCAAACTCTGTTATTAATCAACTCAAGTCATTTTAATCAATACACACGTGTGTATATGCTAAAGAATCATTTCTGTGCTAAATAATAATTTCTAAAAACCTCAGGAAAAGGTTTTTCTGAATCAGCATTGTTTAGGGCTAAGTTTCCCTAGGAATTTTTGAGGCACTTTGTTAATTATTGTTCAAGGGAAACCTGACAAATGGGCAGCTGATCAGTCATTATTCACAAAATTTACCTAACTTTTGAATTAATGACTCATGTTAAGATCTTTTCCTTTTATCAATTGGAATTTGAACTGACCTAATCTTCTGTTTCCTCACTCTCTCTCTTATCTACATCCTTCCTTTAGCCAATATGCCAGGGACCTGAGTTGCCAGTTTTCCAGTTCCTCCCCAGTGGGTACCACATTGATTGATTGGGGTATCTCATTCAGACACAGTCACGTTGGCTCGACTCTGCCTGTTGGAGCTGAGACCATCAATATTGAAAGAGCTCCAGATCCTCTTTAGTATTCTGCTCAATATCAGAGGATTAATTTCTACTTCCAGATATGTCTGGAACCAGCTGAAACCAGATCAGGGTAAATTTCCAGTGATTTGATTTGAATTTGCTTATTTCTGTGTATAACTGGCAAAGTTCCAAATGGAGACTTGTTTCAAAATGGTGTTTCCTGTTCTCCTTTGCTTTGGGGGCTAATATGTAATGGCAACACGTGGTTACCGTAGTTACTGTCGCTGCCCTTATCTGTATGTGGGGCACAGGTGGAACTCTTTTAAGCTCCATCCTTCCCCTTTGTCAAAGATTACCCTTAAATCCCATTATATGCTGAATGGTACAATGGAAAGAACATGGAATTTAGATTCTGAAGATCTGGGTCAAAATCCTGGCTCTGTCATCATAAATGGCAGAGATAAAACTGTGTGTGTAAGTTGGACAGGTAACAAATCAGTGGGCCTGAGTTTCCCCAGCGGTAAAATGAGGGGATTGGACCAGATGGCCTTTGAGGCTTTGTCTAGCTCAGCTTTCTGTAGATCCTGTGATACCAAATAGGAAGCCTTCCCAGACTAAAACATAAGAAATAGGGTAAGACTCGAGCTTTATTAGGTCTGTAGATTTAAAGCTGGAAAGAGACCTAAGAGGTCATCTATTCTACCTCCCATTTTACAGATGAGGAAACTGAGGCCCAGAGAGGTGAAGTGCTTTGCCAGTGGTCACACAAGTACTTCACACCAGAGCCAAGATTTGAACTCTGACTTCAAATCCATTGTTTTTCCCAGTGGACTGTAGGGTACTCTTACAACCCCTTTTATGACAGTAGTCTTTTGTCCATGGGAGCCACTTCAGGTTGTTTCCAAATTTGAGAGAGAAAGAGAGAAAGACTTATCCAATTCCTAAATGTTCGTTTGGAGCTGCTGTGCACCTTTTAAAAAATCCACTTATATCAAATTCCTGCAAGACCGCAGCGTCCTTGTGACTTGGCATTGTTTCCTGGGGCCAAGGGTGATTATGGCGGCAGAGGAAGCAGAGACTCCATAAATAGTTTCTCATATCAAATTTTCCCCTGCTCTCTTGAAATTCGATTTTCATGGCCTTCATTTTGATGTCTCTTGAAAGATTAGACCAGTCTTTCTTAACCTCTTTGGCAGTCTGGTAAAGCCCATGAACCCCTTCTCAGAATATTTTTAAACGTATAAAATGAAATACATAGAGTCAAAAAAGAAATTATTTATATTGGAATACAGTTATCAAATTTTTAAAAAATTCATGGACCCTCGGTTAAGGGAAGCTGATAGAAATTAGTGAAAATAAAGATGTAATTTTTTTTGTTGCCCTCTAATCTCACGGACCCCCTGAAGAATTTACCTTTGGAACCCCTTGATTTTGTGGGCCCTAGGTTAAACATTCCTCAACCAGAGCAATACCAGGCACTCTACTCTGGTCTCTGTCTCCCAGAAACCTCAGCTAGGGGATAAGAAGCTCATCTTCCTTCTCCGTGCCCATATCCATCACCTCCTTGTCTTAAATTGTGAGCCAAGGTGTTGATCTGGCCTTGAAAGCCCTTGCAGAAAGGGAGTAATTTGAGGAGAGAAAGTGAAATCTGCCAGAACCGTCCTTCTGCTTGTGTCCAGCCTTGGCCTCCAAGGTACTACTTTTCCACTGGGCAACCTTAGGGTAAATTTTACTGGTGTTGTAACCTCCCAGCTCTTAGGGAGTCAAAGGCAGCCCCTGGGCACTCTGGGTTTCACAGTTATTAACAGAGCTTGGCAGTTCACCACTGACACTGGTAAGGATAGCCTGTCCTAGAATCACAGATTTAGAATTGGAAGGGACCTTAGAGGTCATGAAGTCCAGTCATCTCATTTTACAAGTGAGGAAACTGAGGTCCAAAGAAGTGAGGCAAAGGTGATCTCCAAATCTTGCTGTATCCCATTTTCTCTTAAAGAAGTAAGTGGTCTTTTACTTACCTGCTAATAAGCAAAAAGCTACAAAAATGCTAAATATGCCCTGTGGTCTGATCTTTCTGTTCCGAAGTACAGCAAATGTGGGTGAATCACCTATATCCCTAATTGGGCAGCTCTGCTCTGTTAAGTTATTATTCTGCTATGTAGTTTCCGCTTGATGAATAAAATGTGGCCCTCATTCAGTAACCCTAGCAACTAACCTACATAGGGATGTATATAAAATCTGATCCACACTAAAGAATAGCCAGATGCTGAAGTGGATAGAGTAGCGGCCTGGCGTCAGGAAGACTCATCTTCCTGAGTTTAAACCTGGCTTCAGATGCTTCATAGCTATGTGACCCTGGGCAAGTCACTTAAACTTGTTTGCCTCAGTTTTTTCATCTGTAAAATGAGTTGGAGAAGAAAGGGAAAACTACTTTAGTATCTTTGTCAAGAAAACCCCAAATGGGGTCACAGAGAGTTGGACACAAGTCGTCAACAACAACAACGAGCCACACTTAGGGGAGGGAGTATATGGTACAGTGGAAAGAATGTAGAATTTGGAGTCAGAGGACCCAAGTTCAAATCCCAGCTCTGCCATTTACTCCCTGTGTGAGCTTGGGCAAGTGTCTTGTCTCTCTAAGCCTCAGTAGAGAATAACTCAAGTCCCTGCTAGCTTTACCCACAATTCCTTTGTATATGGCTAGTTAGCTTAATTGACGAAAACTTGGGGCTGAGCACAAGTGAGTGGATTCATTCACCTTTTGGGCCAGTTAGTTTTAATCTTTTCCATGGAGACTATGTCATTACTCCTGGAAAACTACCCCATAAATTCCTGCTTTCACGAGCAATGGGTGATAAAGTGTGTGTGCGTGTGTGTATTTGTATATATATATGTATATATATTTTCAATAGAAATCCATCACTGCTGGAAACGTGACTCAGTGTTTGCCCTCTGTATGGGAGGAAGAGGAGGAGGAGGAGAAAAGAAAGAGCCATAATATTTTTTTCTTGTGTGAATTCAAGACAGTGCATGTTTTTGATGGTTTAGTAGATAGGGTGTAAATCAATAAATAAGTTCTCCTTCATATATTAAGTATTAATTCCATATGTGCTAAAGTTTCTCAAGCTGTTAAATAGTCACAAATGTTACTTGCCTACCCAACAGGACTGTTGAGAAGTAAGGTTTGAAGGTATAGGGATAGTGTGGTGCAATGATGTCTAACTCAAGTAGAAATGGATCCCTATAGCTGCATCATAACTTTTTGGGGGTATTTTTATTATAATTTAATATTTTATTATAATTTATATTTTTATTTTTTGTACTAAATATTTCCCAATTACATAATAATATGATACTAGTGGGTGCTTGAAGGGCTGGACTTAGCGTCAGAAAGTCTAGGTTCCAGTGTTGGCTGTGTGATGTCCTGTCTGAGGGCACCCTGGGGAAATCACTTAACCGCTCTGAGCCTCAGTTTCCTTATCTTTATTAACAAGTGGGTTGGATTAGATGCTGTCCAGTAGATCACGAAGTATTTAAGTGGATACTATATGGCAGGCGCTTTGGGGCCAGGCATGGGGATATAAGTACAAAGAATAAAATAATCTCTACTTGCAGAGAGGTGACATTCAAATGGGCAGCTAGGCAGCACAGTGGATAGAGTGCCAGACCTGGAGTCAAGAGGACCTGAGTTCACATGTGACCTCTGACACTTCCAAGCTGTGTGACCTTGGGCAAGTTCACCTTGCTTGCCTCAGTTTCCTCATCTGTAAAATGAGCTGGAGAACAAAATGGCAAACCACTCCAGTATCTTTGCCAAGAAAACCCCAGATGAGGTCACAAAAGGTCACAAGTGTTGGACATGACTGAACAACAACATTCAATGGGTGAACATGATGAATACATATAAAAATATATATACAGCATAAATATAATTTGAATAAATACAGATATGAACAAAGTAGTTCAACACAAGGTAATTTTGGAGGGAAGGCATTAGCAGTTAGTTGGTTCCTTCAAGCTCCTATGATCCTATAATTTTTTTTAACAAATTTTTGTTGATCTATGTTAAGATTTTTACATCAACAAAATTTCTCCCAGCACCTCTCCTCTTCTCTCTTTTAGAGCTACGTAATATAACAGATATTTTTTAAAGAAAAAAGGGGGAAAATTAGCAGAAACAGTTAATACATTGAACACTTTTGAAAATATATGCAATTTCCCCACACTTGTTGACCTGCATCAGGATGATTGTGTGAGTGCAAAGTTGTCTTGTAATCAGTTGGCCCTCAGATGCAGGAAGAGCACTTAAGTTATTTTGGTTTTTTTAATGGCTTGCCGCACTTTGGGTTGGATATTAGGGTAGTGAGATTTCCTGTCATCTGGATACATTTTGTGGGCATCTTTTAGAACAGGAGTTCTTAACCTTTTTTGTGTCCTGGATGTGTCTTTGGCAGTCTGGGGAAGCCTGTGGATCCCTTCTTGGAATAATGTTTCTCAGTGCATAAAATGAAATACAAAGGGTTATAAAGGAAGTCAATTATATTGAAATACAGTTATCAGAATAGTTAACAAACAAGTTCATAGACCCCAATTTTTGGAGATAGCGTAACAAGGGAGGCCCAAGAACATCCAGATGAGACATTCTGCTGCGCCTGTCTCCAAGGGTATGATGGAGGCTGTCAAGATTCACGTCCTCAAATTCCAAACCAGTGGTATTTGGTTCTTTCTATGGTCCAGATCCTTATCCATGCCCACTCAGGCATGTTGGAAGGAGCCCTGCGGATACTGGAGGCATCTGCCGAAAAAACCCCCTTCAGCTTTGTGAAGAAGGAAGAGTTCTCAGAGGAAGTGGTAAGTACCTGGGGATTGGAAAAATCTGTGAAAAGTGAAGCACCTGCTGGGCTTGGTGGCGCAGTGCCTGGGACTGGGAAGGATGACTGTGGCAGATCTCTTGAGCTCTGGCGTTCTGAGCTGCTGTGGACTATGCCAAATGGGGATCCAGACTGAGTTAGGCAGTCTTATGTCAGGGTTAAATTTAGCACAACCTTGGCTTTAATCCAATACATTAAACATTTATTAAGCTCCTACTATGCCAGCACTGTACTGAGGGCTTTATAGGAAAAGTTATCATGGTTTAGGGGATAGAAAAACCATGGAGTTAGAAGACCTGGGTATAATTTCCAACTCTACTATGTAATAGCCGTGTGACCTTGGGCAGGTATACTATTGTGACTTACCAGGTTATTGTCAAGATTATAATGTAGTGAATGGGCAACTAGGTGGCACAGTGGAAAGAGTGCCAGGCCTGGAGTCAGGAAGACCTGAGTTCAGATACGGCCTCAGACGCTTATTAGCTGTGGTGACCCTAGGCAAGTCACTTCACCTTGCTTGCCTCAGTTTCCTCATCTGTAAAATGAGCTGGAGAAGGAAATGGCAAACCGCTCCAGGATCTTTGCCAAGAAAACCCCAAATAAGGTCACAAAGAGTTGGACACAACTGAAATGACTGTACAACAACAACAAATAATGTAGTGATGTATATAAAGTGCTTTTAAAAAGCACTTTATAAAAGTAAACTATCATCATCACTACTCTTAAAGGCTGTCTCTCTTCCATCCTAACAGAATATAAGCCACCACATGCACCAACACTATTTGTGATTGATCTGTTCAGTCATTTCAGTTGTATCCAACTATTTGTGACCTCATTTTGGGGTTTTCTTGGCAAAGATCCTGGAGCAGTTTGCCATTTCCTTCTCCAGCTCATTTTACAGATGAGGAAACTGAGGCAAACAGGATGAAGTGACTTGCCCAGGGTCACATAGTTAATAAGTGTCTAAGACCAGAAATGATCTTAGGAAGATGAGCCTTCCTGAGTCCAGGCCTGGGGCACTCTATCCACTGCATCACCTAGCGGCCCTATATCATGATATATCTATAGCCCATGACAGCCTGGAGAGTCATAATTTTGCAGCTGATGGGACAGAATTGTGATTTCAGTAGCATACATGAGTGGTGTGCAACTCAAATAGAAGTGGATCCCTGTGGGCCTCCTATTGATGTGGAAAACCACTAATTAATATTATCTGTGTTGTATTCTATTTTCACTTATTTTGTTTAACATTTCCCAGTTACATTTTAATCTGGTTCTGCCTGCACCCCAGAGTTTTATGAGTTGTGAGTTTGACACCTCTAGTGTAGAATATTCCTAGCGAATACATTCCCTCTATCGATGCAGATCTCTAACTATACTTTTCAACAACTTATGGTGTTAGAGGGTAGCCTAGCCTAGTATTAAGAAGTTAAGTGACTTGCCCAGGGTCATGCAGCCAGTATGTGCCAAAAGTGGGATTTGAACTCAGGTCTTCCTGACTTCTAAGGCCAACCCTTTATCCACAGTGCCATTTGTGCAGCTGATAAATGACCAAGAAGATAAAGGGAGGGGGGAAAAGGAAAGGAAACTTGTGATCAACAACTATTTGATGGTTTTTTCACTTTATTGAATTACAAAGCATAGTTCAATGAGGCACCTAAGCACATCTTGCTTTTATTGATAGCGGAAAATAAGGACAATAGTTGTGTAGTTAGGTGCTTGAGGGACACTCTTAATTCTTAAAATTCATACATTTCTACCTAGAATGCATTGTTTGGTAAAATTAGTCATTTAATTGGACTGCCTATCCCTAGCCTCCATCTCATTTCTCAGCTCCTTTCTTGTCAGACCTGTTTTCAGGTGGCAAAAATTGATTGACTGGAGATGCCATTCCCTCTCTCTAGTCATCTTGTGGGAGAAGTATTACCAGGAAGACAGTGGTAATGTAGGAAATGAGAATGGTAGGGAAGAGAAGCCAATAACGTGGGTAATTTGCAGCCTAGATAATTAGCCCCTAAATAATGGAGTGTTCTTTCCACCTCCACTTCTGGGAAGTTCTGCCCCAAACAGCCTTCTCTCTCTCCCCCCCCCCCCCCCCCCGCCCTGTGACCTCTGTCAGTATTGTGAAAGACAAGCCAGGCAGCCAGAGGGCCCCATTGGGGCTCCTCCACGTGACCTCACAATCTTGAGCGGAAGGTTCTTTGGCCCCAAATTAGCTTGGCCAGCCAACTGCCTGATGGTAACTCCTCTCTTGCAGAATGTGTTTGTTTGTTAAAATAAGTTTTATTGGTACTTTTTGCTTTTGCCTCACAATCCCATACCAGGATTCCAAAAAAAACATCATGTTGCTCATTTCTACTTCATTTTTTTTTTCTTCTTGGGTTTATTCTCCTCCTTGCCATGCCCTTCAGAAGGATACCAGGAGAAATCAAAAACCTTTCCTCATCTGAGTGGAAATTTTCTAGGAAGGGCCATAACTGATTTGAGGTCAAATTAGTATTTTGTCTTCTCATTTGAGAGACGTGTCACCCATTTCCTGTTCTGTGGAGTAAAGTAGGTACCCACAGTGGCAGATAGGTATCCATTTCATATGTTGATCTTCACTCCTATGAGAGATCCAACAATGAAATTTGTGCAAATTGAAATTTATCCAAAATGAAATTTGTGCAACATAGATTGCATCTTTAATATCATTAAAGATATTAATATTAAAGAATTATTATTATTAATTATTAATATTAAAGATATTAAAGAAAATGTAGGAAGATAGTGGAATTATGGGTTGGGATTGGTTTTTTTTTTCCCAAACTTACCTATTTTATGTGAACTGATGCAAAGTGAAGCGACCAGAACCAGGAGAACATTGTAGTTACAGCAATATTTTTTTTTTTAAATTTAAATTTTTTCTTTTTAGGCAATTGGGGTTAAGTGACTTGCCCAGGGTCACACAGCTAGTAAATGTTAAGTGTCTGAGGCGGGATTTGAACTCAGGTCCTCCTGACTTCAGGGCCGGTACTCTATCCACTGCGCCACCCAGCTGCCCCTACAGCAATATTTTTAAAAATATTTTTTTTTTCATTAAACATTTCCTAATTACATGTGAAAAATTTTAACATTCATTTTGTAAAAGCTTTGAGTTCCAGATTCTCTTTTCCTTCCTCCTTCCCCCCTTAAGAAGGCTAGCATTATGATACTGTTTAGTCATACAAAACATATTTACATATTAGTCAAAGAAATACACGCCCTAAAACACAAGAAAAAAAAAAGAAAGTAAAAGCAGCATGTTTCAGTCTGCACTAGACTTCATTAGTTCTCTCTTTAGGGGTGGACAGCATTTTTCATCATGGGTCCTTTGGAACTGTCTCAGATCATTGTCTTGATAGAGTAGCTAAGTCCTTCACAGTTGATAATCATTATGCTATTGCTGTTACTGTGTACAGTGGTCTCCTGGTTCTACTCACTTCACTTTGCATCAGTTCATATAAGCCAGGTTTTTCTGAAACCATCCTGCCTATCATTTCTTATAGCACAATAGTAATCCATTACAATTGTATACCACACCTTGTCCAGCCATTCCCCAGTGGATGGGCTTCTCCCTCAATTTCTAATTCTTTACCACCACAAAAAGAGCTGCTGTAAATATTTTTGTACAAACAGGTCTTTTCCCCTTTTCTTTGATCTCTTTGGCATATAAATGTAGTAGTAATATTAAACAGCAGTATTATCCATTATCACTGGTGAAAAACTTAGCTACTCAGATCAATACAGTGATCCAGGACAATCTAAAGGACCCATGATGAAAAATGCTATCCACTCCCAGAGAGAGAACTGATGAACTGTTGAATGCAGATTGAAGCAGACTTTTTTCACTTCATTTTTTTTTTTTTTTACTTTTTTGTGCAACATGGCTAATATGGAAATAGATTTTGCATGACTTCACATGTATAATTGATATCACATTATTTACCTTCGGAAGGGGTGGAGGGCAGACTGGAGGGCAGGAAAAAATTTGGAACTCAAAATTTAAAAAAAAAAGAATGTTAAAAATAAGTAGTTTTAAAGGAAAAACAGTATATAAACAGAAAGCTTACATTTATATAGCATTTAAACTTTGCAAAGCACTGTACCTCCATTATCTCATTTGCTTCTCACAACCACTGCATTCCTATTTTACAGATGAGGAAACTGAGGCTCAAAGAGGTTTAAGTGACTTGATCAAAGATACATAGCTAATAATTGTATGAAGTGGGGTTTGAACCCAGGTCTTCCTGATCTTAAATCCAGTGGTCTTGGTGCACCAAACGACACTAGCACAACTTTCTTGGTTTTCATCAGAGAAGTTCCTTTGGGAGAGCTTGGCCCACTATGATAACTTGACTATGACATCATCTAGTTGCCTTCCTGCCTCCCTCCCCCTACCTTCTCATTTTAAAGATAAGGAAACTGAGGCTCAGAGAAAGAAAATGTATTATCTATTGCCCCCTCCCTATAGTCATGGCCCTGAAAATGCAGCCCAACTGGGAACCTTCAGAGGCCAAAAAGGATTTTTTCTTCCACTCATGGCATATCTAAAAGAGACCCGTCGTGGACCTCCTCACTTTAATCCATTCTTTTCTCCATCCACATTCCAGGACTAGCCAAATGTCCTAGAATTAGCACGTCCCCCTTGTGGCCAGCAGCTGGCATTGCTGTTGTGGCTTAGCATGCCCTAATGTAGCTGGGCCTTTCCCTGAGCCTTCCCTTATATCTTAACAAAGAGACTTAGCCAAGGACACACAGCAGATTAGTGGCAGTGCCATCAGTAAATCTGGGTCTCCTGACTCCTCATCCAGGGCTACATCATTTATACCATGCTCACTCTTCTCTGTTGAAGATATATATTACCTACCTAAAATTCATGTGGAAAATTACTGATTTTTTTAAAAAATACTTCCAATTTTAACTTAGCCTGAAGGTCCTTTTTTTTCCCCAAAGCTTTTTTAGATGGATTCTAATTTAAAAACATGTACAACCCATTTAAACTTTTCCCCTGGATACTGTGAGACTGATTAGAGAGCTGCCTAATATGAGAGGTTAGGCATAAGTCATTTAGCTAGTAAGTACTTGGAAACAAGCCTCTGGATTCCCAAGTCCAGTGTTTGTGGGACCCTCTACTTTGATGTGTTAGCATGTGGAGAATAGAGCTCTGAAGCCAGCTCTGTTTTGAGGAGAATAAAGCGTGTGCTCCAGACCACATGTAAATGATCAGTTGTCTTGAGTTTGGTTTTTGTAAATAACATTAGAGGCATCTAGGCATATGGTGGGCAAAGTGCTAGATTGGTGATGAGAAGCCCTGAATTCAGATCCTGCCTCTATGGACTTTTCCAGCTAAAAATATAATCCTATTATGCCATGTGTTCACAGTAATGATAACTGAAAATGGGCCCTGCTTAGTGATTGGCAGTAACGTGGCAAAAGAAATCAAGGGGACTCTTTAACCACCTATGAGAACAAGAGAAAGAGTATCAGACAATTGGTCTTTTGCTCGTCACAACCTCTGTCTGCTTCTGTTTCCTCAGCTGTGAAATGGTATTAATAATGGCACCTACCTCCCAGAGTTGTCATGAGGATAAAATGAATTAATATTTATACAGCGCTTAGCCCAATGCCGGCACATAGTAGGTGCTTAATAAATGCATGTTCCCTTCCCCCCAACCCTTCTGCAAAACTGATGTTCCGATGACTAAAACACAAGCTTCTTCTTCATTGATTTTTTTTTTTCTGAACTAAATTAGGGAACAAATTTGGCACCTTCTCTTTCCTGCTTAGATGGCAGAATAGCTGTAATAATTCCATTTAATGTTTCCACAGCTAGCCGAGAGAACTGAGGCAGTACATTCAATTAGAGTGAAGTTAGCCCAGGCTTGACAGCTTTGCACTGCTCTTTTTGGGAAACCTTATGCTGCACATTAATTCTGTTCACCTTGAACCCGGTGACAAAGCAAGCTGTTCCTCATAAGAACATTAAGAATCTTTCAAGCATTAAGATTCCATGGGGAGTCATGGTGCAAAAGGGAGATAGAGGATCCGGAAAGTGAGTGTAGGCCAATGGGCATGTTAAGAATCGTGATCATGAATTAAATTTCTTTAAATATTGTAGGGGAGGGGGATTGAATTAGCCTTCCTTCTCTGCACTCCGGTCTCTACCTCCTCTAATCCAGCCTGTAAATCACTGCCACCATAATCTTCCTAACAAAATCGTTCCCAGTGTCATCTCCCTGCTCAGAAACCTCTGCTGGCTTCCTACTGCCTATAGGAAAAAAAAAGTCCAGACTCTTTAGTATGGCATTTAAGGCATTACGTGATACGGCCCCACTCTACCTTTTCAGGTTTGTTTATGTGACATTTTAGACAGCTCATTTCTTCCGAATACACCCTGTACTTGTAGTGCTCAGGTCCCTCTTCACCTTGAGTGCTTGTTACTCAGTGCCTCCATCCCTGCCTGTTAAAGAACCACCCATCCTCCAAGCTTGGCTCAGATGGCACCTATTTTTAGACAGCTCCCCCTGTGTTGAAGTATCTTGGGGGCCAAGCAGTAGGATGAGTTCATCATTCAATCCCACCTGTGTCTGAACAGGAATCCCGTCTATAACATACCCAACAAATGGCCTTAGTTTGAAGACAAAACCCAAAAGCAAACTGTTCCACTTTGGGACCGCTCTGATTGTCGGAAGGTTTTCTTTGCATCATGCAGAAACCTGCCTATTGGCTATATCTGCTGATTGTTCCTAGGACCCCCTCTGGAACCAAGCAGAATGAGATTTGTCCCTTTTTCACAAGACACCTGTCAAGCCCCCTCACAAGCCTCCCACTTCTCTTTTCTCTCCTTTCTCCTCTATTTTCTCTTTAATTTTTCAATTCAAACAAGGTAAGCATGTGGGTTTTTTCAACCTTTAACTTAGCATATACTATAATATGATGTATTATAATACATCATATTATATTATATTATCCATATAATATAAACACCTAGCATTTAGATTTTGTTCAGTTCCAGGGTTAGCAAATCCATGTTTTTTGTTCTATTTTGAGTTTAGTTCCCAATTCTCTATTTTGCTTTACCAAGCAACAGACATATGTTGATCATTTATGTTCAAGGTACTAAGCTTCTCGGGAAATACAGCAAAGTGTAAGACTTAGTCTTTTTCATAGTTTTATGAAGTCCAAACAACACTTCCCTTCTTTATGATATTTTTATGAGAAAAGCATCATAGTTTCCTTTTTAGAAAGTGAATTTTTAAATGCAAGAATGTATATTTTATCTCTGTTGAAAGATATTTTTAGCCCATGTTGAAATGCCATAATGATTCAGGAGCTTAGAGACCCAGTGTGGTGTCATAGAAAGAGTGCTGGACTTGAAATCAGTAGAGACCTGGGTTTGAAACGCAGTCATTGTCATTTACTAGTTGCATGACCTTGAGCAGGTCACAGCCTCTTTGAGCTTCAGTTTCTTAATCTCTAAGGTGGATCATATCTCTCTAGATTGAGAGCTGGAAAGGATTTTAGAGATAACCTAATCCAACCCCATCCCTTTACAGATGAGGAAATTGAGCCCCCAGAAGGACAAAATGATTTATCTTAAGATCATACAGAATCAGGGTTTGATCTCAAGGCTTCTGACTACAAAAAAATCTCTCACTGCAACACAGTAGTATTTAACTCCTAGCCAAGAATGGTGCCTGGCTACACGACATTGAACACTACAGTCTCCCTGTATATGAAAATTATTATTTCCCAGATGACAGTGGAGAGGTGTGTGATAAGTGTAGACAGCTACAACATGTTGCAAACAAGGAATTAGGGGGAAAATGGAGTAAGAAGTCATTCAAAGGGGCAGCTGGGTGGTGCAGTGGATAGAACACCAGCCCTGGAGTCAGGAGGACCTGAGTTCAAATCCGGCCTCAGACATATAAATTCATTGCAGACCTTAGAGGACTATGTAGATGTTGGTTTGTTCCCTTAATTAGTACGTGACCTGCTCTATGCCAAGCATCGTCCTGCGTGCCAGGAATACCAAGACAGAGATGAAATAGTCCCTCTCCTCAGGGAGCTTATATTCCATGAGGAGAGACAATACGTGCACAAATAAGTTATACAAAATCACTAAAAGGTCTTTTGGTGAGGGTGGCACGAGCAGCCAGGAGAACGAAAGGAACAAGGGAACTGTCTTGAAGGCCTTCTACATTCCGTTTTTCTCTTCTCACAGCTGACCACAGTGAAGGAGAAATTAGAGGGACAGCCGGCTCTCCAGTTCAGATTCAAAGAGATCTGGGACAAGCTCCAGGCATCTGGCCAGGTCATCCCCCAGACTGTCGATGCCATGCTCTGTGTCATCCCTCAGAGCAGGAAACCCCACATTCTCTCATTTAACAAGAGGCAAACAAGCCGTCGGACTTTACAGCCACTCAGTTCATCTCTGATAGCAGAGTAGCCCTGGATTTGGCCATTGGTGACTCTGAACTGAATGTGTCATTCTGAGTATCTGAGAAATTGTTTTGAAGGAAATTAGGCTGAACATTTTTATCCCCTCCACAGATTTCTAACACTCATTGACAACCGACATTCCAAACTGAAAGGTCAGCATTCTGGACTATTGTGGACAACATTAACCCAAACAATCAGAAATCTTGGTTTTTTTTTTTTAACATTTTGAACATTATACACATCTGTGTATAGTGATGGGTGTGCCCCTGAGAAAACTGTAGTGGTTTCTCAGTCCTGTCGCCTAGGCCCTAGTTCATACAGGCAGTAGCAGAGAAGAACTTCAGGTCTGGATATAGACTTAATCCAGCTTCAAATAACCCTTCCTTCCAAAGATACTTGTTACATCCTTAGAAACTCGGTCCTCTTATGGATTTCAGCAGGTTTGCTATGCTGCCTTGAAAACAGTGATCTTTCCTTCTTATTTCTTTGAATGCTCTAATTTTGTTTTTAATATCTAAAGCTCCAAAGCATGAATGCTGAGAAAGTCCCCAATAAAATATAGTAACCATCATTTGCTAGAGGCAGGATTACATGGAAAATATAACACAGCATGGAACTGAGAATAAGGAGCCCCGGATTTTGTCCTGGCTTCTGCCACTGCCTAATTTCTGTGACCCTAATTAAGCCACTTAATGGCTCAGTCCTGAAGTTTCTTCATCTGTAAAATGCCAGTGCTTGTACTAGCATATCCTCTCATCCAGATTTGAGAATTTCAGACAACGCATAGGAAGGTAAGAGACTAGTAAAAGCAATGCGTAGAAAAACAAAAATACTTTGTTTTCTTCTGATATATGTCTCTTACACCTCTCTCCAACCTCCATGAGGCAAACAGACTCAGGCTTCATCTTCCTGAGCTATTAAATATGCTAGCTTTAAATTATTACTTCCCGGCTTAGGGTAAATCATTTGTTTTCCCAGTAAGACCTATTTAAAATCTCTATCTCATCTCAGTCAGTGTGTGTCATGCATTGTCTGTCCTAATGGTTTTCTTTTCTGTCTCCATTGGAGTGCCTTATTTTCATTGAAAAGAACCATGTCTTTCTTGAGAGCAAAGGACCCAGTTCCCAAGTGCCCTCAGGTACCACTTCAACCGATGGCTTGAAATACAGCATCTGGAGGTGATACACAGTATGAAAATACACGGTGGTCCCATCTCAGCTGGGCCTTTTGTTTCCAAAAGCCTGTTGCGATGAGGCGTGTGTATCTGCCTGGAGTTCGGCCAACGCTAATGAGCAACACGCCCTGACTTCTTTGTTTTCTGATGCCATCTGCCCCTTTCCCCACATCCCTTCCCTCCCACCCCACCGCACACTTTGAGCAGACAAGCACTTATGAAAGTGCTTCTTCAAGAAATGTTATTTTGTATTGTTGTTCATAGGCAGCAGGTTGTCATAGACGTTAAAACTCTGAAGGGCCTTGGAGATCATTCCTCACTTACTGATGAGCAAACTGAGGTCCAGAAAAGGGAAGTTATTTGCCGGAGAGCCCGCAGCTAATTACTGGCAGGCTAGAACTGGAATCTGGGCTTCCTGGTAGTCTGAAGAAGGGCATTGTTGAGCCAACCAAGCCAGGCAAGATATACTGAAGGTTCCTATACAGTATCTTCCTTGAAAGGAAAGTCACTTGGAGGATGGTGGTTTGACTGCAGAATACACAAAAAACCTGAGCTTCTTTCCTTCTCATAATCATTGGTTTCAGAAGATGTTATCTTTATTCATGACCTGTGCTAAGCTCTAGACAGATCAATTTTTAAAAAAAAAATTATTGATATCTTTGGCATTTACATACCCTCCATTTCCAAATATATTCCTCTCCCTTCCCTTAATCCAGTGAGCTGGCTCTTGTAACAGAGAATAAAAAAAGACAGGAAAGAAATTTTAAAGCAGTTGACTGAAACAAGCCAATCCATCAACTGAGTCTAATGGTATGTGCAATGTTGCACACACTTAGTTCCTCACTTCTGCAAAGAAATGAAGGGATTGCATTTTCTCATCTTCAGGGCTCAGCCAGGTTATTCCAATTATGCATTGTTCAGTTTTCTTTTGTTATTGTTGTTTCTATTTACATTGCTGTAGTCATGTAAGCACACATGTCACATAAATGCGGTCAATGTAAATACACGTGTGTGTGTGTGTGTGATTTCTACATGGATCAGTTTAGATTGTAAGCTCCCTGAGGGGAGGAATCATGTCATTCATCTTGTATCTCCCTAGCTAAATATGAACAGCACATATTCTGCAAATATTAGGTGCTTATGTTGCTTTTCTAGACCTGTGATTTCATTGGTTTGGAAATTATTTCAGTAGATTCAGAACAGCAATTCAATTTAAGCACCACACTAAGTCCTAGGGATACCAAGACAAAAACAGAATCGTCCTTAGAAAGGTCATCTATACCTAAAGAATTACTCAGTGATTTGCTTAGAGTCCTACAGTTAGTATATATCAGAGTCAGGACCTGGACTCAGGTTTCCCTGACTGGAAGTCTAGCCTTCAATTCACAGAACACCCTGCTGCTTCTTACTGGATAACTAATAAATGTGTTTTGAACAAAAGAAGTAAGTGAACAAACCCCTGCCTTTTGTGAATGTGTGGTATTTTTGATTACCTGGGTATGTCTGATTTGCGAAAGTCAAGTCAATAAGCATTTATTAAGCACCTATCATAAGAGCCATGGGGTGTATGGAGTCTTCAAAGAGGACTAGCACCTCTGGTGTGAGGGCTTGCCAAGCCCTTTTCAGGGCTGGTCACCCACCTTGGGTGTCCACCTGGCACTCACCTCTCATCTGTGGCTCCAAGAAGCTGTAGCATGCACAGTGGCCACACCCCAGTAAATCATCTCGGCAGATGGGCTCAACCAGGTTGAGGGTTAACTGACAGGCCTCAAATCTGTCAGTGAGTTAGGGGAGTGTCTACTGCGACCATGTGAAGATTTCCTCCAGTGGAATGAGCAGATGAGAACAATTTGTTCCAGCAGCCATGGAGGTAGCTGAAGTGGGCTTTGTGGAGCACTTAGATTTGGTTAGACGTCAAAGACCCCAGGGTCATCCACTGCATCTCGGGCCATCGACAGTCATCCTGACTTCTGTCTTGCCACTGGACTTGGATGACTCTGGAAGAGTGAGGCTGACAACTTTGTGCAATTCTGCCTCACTTAAATCCAATTTACACGAGTCAAGATATCACTCCGTGATGTCATTTGACCTCTTCAAAAATAAAGAACAAACAACAATTACAAGAGACATCTCCACATACGCTTCTATTACAACAACTTGGTATCCTAAATATCACAAATCCTTGAGAACTAATATGTTGCCCACTTCCCAACCACAATCTTTCTTCCCCTCCCTTTCACCCTTACACGTACCTGTGCAAAGAGACCCCAGCCTTTGGCGGCCATGCTCGTGTGAACCTCGGAGATTTCTGAGCAGGCGTAGCACCTTTGACCACGTCAGGGCATTCTACTGATGCTAAGGTGGCAAAAGCTCGTCTATCTGGTTGTGGACTGGGAGTTGCTACTAATGGTCAGTATGATGCAATGATTATCTCCAAGACCCTTTGAAATCATCAAAGAAAAATGAGGTACAATTTAAATTATTTCTGCTATTGTATTCCAATTTGAAAGCTTTTCATTTTAGATGATGTGGATTTGCTTATTCAGTGCTTCAACAGTCTGGGATCTCACTCATTCTGTCCCACCAATGCAGATCAAAACCCCTCTGTGGAGCATTTGTATCTTATGTGAGTTATTATAGTTAAAAAGAAAGAAATTCTTCTCCAGACCCATATTCAAAACTAATATTTTAATCTTTCACACATTTTAATCCCATGAAATGGAGCTATATTTGCAATCCAAATGGATTATATAATAATTATTACGTAACATTTTTGTTGTTTAGTCATTCAGTTGTATCTAGTTCTTCATGACCCCGTTTGGGGTTTTCTTTGCAGAGATACTGGAGTGGTTTGCCATTTCCTTCTGCTCATTTGACAGATGAGGAACTAAGGCAAACAGGGTGAAATGACTTGCCCAGGGTCACACAGCTAGTGTCTGAGGCCAGATTTGATCTCAGGAATATGAGTCTGTTTGACTCCAGGCCCTATTCTTTATCCGTTGTGCCACTTAGCTGCCCCAACTTTGTATATGTGTGTACTGTGTACGTTATATACTGTGTACCTGTGTGCTCTCTCCCTCATGCCCCTGACCCCCAGTAGAATGTAAGTTCACAATACGTGTTCAGATGTAAATTCCATATTTCAGGAAAGGCGCTGATGAGCTACAGAACATCTTCCAGGATGGGAGAAGCCCTTGAGAGCATCCCTTATGAGAGTTGATTGAAGGGATTAGAGATGTTTAGCCTGTAGAAAGGAAGGACTTGGTGGATAGCTTCATAAGGAGAGGCAAGATGGTATAGTGGACAAGCACTGGCCTTGGTTGGACGTTGGAAGACCTAGGGACAAGTCCCACCTCAGACACTCCATAAGGGTATGAGATGGAGATGATACTGTAGCACCTTCCTCACACATTTGTTGTGCACATCAAATGAGTTTGTAGAATCATAGATCCTAGCTGGAAAGGACCGCAAAGGTCATCGAGTCCAATCCTCTCATTTTACAGATTAGGAAACCGAGGTCCAAGGAGGATAAGTGACTTGTCCAGCGTCACACAAGTAGATAATGTAGATCAAGCTCTTCCCAAACCTTAAACTATGAAAACATCTACTGTGTTCACCATTCAAGGGCTATTGCATGGAAAGAGAAGGAATGTATTGTAGTGGATGGAGAGCAGGGCTCAAAGACCTGGGTTCAACTCCCGCTGCAGACATACTGTTTCTGGACCCTGAGCAAGTCACTAACACCTCACCGCCCCCAGGCACCTTTCTAAATCTGTAAGTTACAGAGGAGTTGCTGATATGCATTAGTAAACTATTTTCTTAATCCACTCTCCCCCCAAAAACAAACAAACAAACAAAAATGGGGAAGGATTGGATTTGTTGCAAAGAACTAAGCTTCCTAATGCAAAGCAGCCTCAAAATAGTGTTTGCATGTTGTCTTCCTCATTAGAATGTCTGGCACATGGTAAGTATTTAAATGCTTGTTGACTGACCCTAGCAGTCTTTAGCCCTCTTACTGGGGCAGCTAGGTGGTGCAGTAGATAGAGCGCTGGGCTTGGAATCCGGAAGGCTCATCTTCCTGAGTTCAAATCCAGCCTCAGACATTTACTAGCTAGGTGACCCTGGGCAAGTCACCTCATCCTGTTTGCCTCAGTTTCTTCATCTGTCAAATGACTTGGAGAAGGAAATGGCAAACCACTCCGGTATCTTTGCCAAGAAAACCAAAAAATGGGGTCATGAAGAGTCAGACATGACTAAACAACAATAGTGCTCTTACTGGAGGTCTTCAGGGAAAGGCCAGTGACTACTTTTCAGGAAACTTGTAGGAAGGATTTTTGTGCAGGTGTGGCTTGGGTCAAATGGTTTCTGTTGTTCCCTCCAGCTCTGGGATTCCATGTGAACAGAGAGAAAGAAGGGAGGGAGAGAAGGAAGCAGAAAAGACCCATGGAATCTTGACTGTCCTTCACTGCATTACTCTTGAGCCACATTACAGACTTAGTTGCTTCATGGTGTGATGGAAAGACAATCCTTTGCCCTTTAGAGCTGGCTATTAATAAAGCTCTTGTAGGGTGATAAGTAGGTCCAACAGTGTGCCCCAGAGCTGGGCCTCTCCTAAGAGACATCTTGGCTGGACCTTGTCTGCCGAGTGACAATCTTGTAGGTACAGCCAACTAATAAGGCAATGGATTCTCAGTTTTCTGGGAGCTTCTGAGGTTTTTTGTCTTCTCCCCTCCTTCTTACGTCTACGAGGGCAAAGGAGGTATCAAAAGATGACCACAACTCAGGGAGTTCCCTTCCTTGTCCAGTCTTCACTCTGACATGCTGCCCCCCAACCTTAGAGAAGGTTGATTCAAATCCTCGGGTCTCTTCGGGGTCTCTGCCAGACAGCTAAACAGCAAGCAGAACCTCTGGGACCACAGGCTGTCAGTGACATTACAAGAGAAGAAAGGCCCCCTGTTAAAAAGTGATGGCTCCTTATAGCTCCTTATTTAAATGTGGAACAAGTGAATTCAACTTATCCAGGACCTTCAAACTCTCAGGATCCAAGTGATGGATGGGCTTTTAGCTCATGTAAATTCAAGATAGACACCCACAGATGACACTTCAGGCAGTCTGAGTTTAAGATGACTAAGGTGACCTTCTGTCTCCTAGCTGGAAGTCATTTGATTAATGACATTTAATTTGAAGGGCCCTTCCAGCTGAAGCCTGGTGCCTTAGAGCAGTGCCAGTGAAATCACACATGGTACCAAACACCAAGAGGAATGTAGCACAGAGACGGCCAGGCCAGAGCAGTCACGAAAAAGGAGAGAAACACAACCTGGGCCTTTCAGTCCCCTTGCTTGGCCTCCCTCTACAAAGTCACAGGTGGCCAAGAAAATCCCACTTCAAATTTGGTACATAACATTTCTCTATGTCTCATTCACACAGGGCTTTATGTGGAACTTGCATTTTTCCCTTCAAAATGCAACTCGGGGACTAGAAGTGAGCTCCTTGCCTGTCTGATATTAGTATTTGTAATCCCAGAACCTAGCAAAATGTCTAACACATAGTAGGAGCCTAATACATGCTTATACCGTTTATTGTTTATTGATTGACTAATGGATCCTAGACTATGATGGTCATTAAATCTTTAGACAAGTTTAGTGACTGAGTTAAAAAAGAGCACCTTGCATTCTGACAGCACAGAATGAGACAGAAGAAAAGATGAAAGGCTATGTCCTGACAGATCACTATAAGCAGTGGTCTGCTCTGCACAAGCTGGTGGCCTCTCTATGTCCACTTCCAGCAACCCTGAGCTGAACTCTTGAGAGAGAGAGAGAGAGAGAGAGAGAGAGAGAGAGAGAGAGAGAGAGTGAGAGAAGCCACCAGAGGGCGCTCAGCATCATGCTTTCCCAAAGGGTGTTTGGAGTTGAAATGATAATTTCTATAATTCCCGAACCAAAAGGAAATCATACCCCAGGCTAAACAGAAATGGCAGCCATAGAAAGAATGTTGGGGGGGGGTTAT